TGTCAGCATGTCGTGGCCCGCCTGCCCGCCATAATGCTGACCGTTATGCGGCTCGACGCTGCCCGAATCACCCCAGCCTGGCCGCTACGTTGATCCCCCATCGCGCCCTCCCGAAGCGGCTCGAGTCCTTTATCGTCCACTGTCTAAAGCAATAAGCGTTTATTTGCGTCACTTGAAACTAGACGGAGCATTCGGTCACCCGTCGGGAGCTGGGCATCCGGTGGCGGTGAATGGGTTCACACAAAAGGGCAGGCGTCGGTCGCTGGCGTCGACGTCATGCACTCGTTTATCTCGCGACTCGAGCGGGGTTCTCACCTGTTCCCCTCTCCCTACGACGTCGTCATCGCTGATTCTGTTGAAGTTGTTCTTTTTCCAATCCCCGCTCGACCCATGTTCGACCCGTCCCCTTTGTTCCCTGTTCGGCTTCGGAACAATCAAAGACTTCAGGACAGCGGATCCTCCATCGGCTGCGTCCTCTCACGCACTCAGGATCCGACTCGGACTCACTTCGGAGCTTCTCCTCCGTCGTTCTAATGATGGACGAACGATGGATAGCCGATTCGGCGACGATGGATGAATCGAGTAGGTAGCTAGCTGCTTCGAAGGGTCGAGGGACTCCGAGAAATGGCTAGCTCATTCGCTTGGCCATCTAAGGGGTGGGCTCTTGCCATCCGGCGACTAGCTGTCGAGGATGGCGAACGCTGCCCACCCTCTTTTGTCGTCAATTGCCTCACAGGATGGGAACCAGGCAACTAGACAGGCAGGCAGGTCGGCGGGCAGGCAGACGAACACGCCACGGCAAGCCCGCCGCTTGCCTCCGAGCACAGCGTGAGGGTGAGGGATGACATACCTCCGGTCCTTCTGTGATTGTTATGCAACCATAAGTGGCAGCTTGAGGTCACCACGTCCCCATCAGACCCCTCTGCCCGAATTTCCACATTGGCAGCCGCCGCCACCTCCATCGCCACATATCGCCGTAACGTAAGCATCGTCAACGATGAATGGCTGCATAGCTCTCTCGGAGTTTTCTCTCCGGCGAAAGGCTGCTTAATGGAAGCGCTAGCTGTGACGATGCGGTGATGACTGTTTTACGGAGCTGTCAAAGCTCCAACATGTCGACTGCTTGTTCGTCCGCATCGCTGACCTTGCCTCATTCATGCGAAGGAGCATGATCATGTAGATGTTTGCCATTATCGAGCTTCATGCGGATCTTCGGGAACCCGAGACGTCTATCTTCAACTGTGTTCCCCGAGGATGTTTCTTCCCGGTTCATTCAATGCTCATGCTTCGGTTTTTTTTTTCTACTTTCCGTCGATAATTCTGTATTCGTGAAGGCCTTCCAATTCCACTGTCACTCGATTCCACAGCCCCGCTGCCGCTGGATACAGAAGCGTGACAGGTCGAAACCACGTGTCGCTTCCTCATTCCGCCTCGTCTTCATCTGGCGCGCGCGCGCGCGAGGAAACCTGTCGCTCGTTGTCAGTCAGACACTCGGGCGGTCGGTTAGTGAGCCGGACTGTCTGTCCGCCTGTTGGGCTGTATACGTGTGCCAGTCTACAGCGCTCATCCATGCTCCGAACGATTCTGCAGGAGAATCTGGCGGATCCACAAACGCTGAATTCGCGAATAGACAGTCTCGAACAGAATTTACGAACAGACGCACTTGTGTGAGATTGAGAGGCTCGTTTCGGACATTTCATTCTTACGATGTCAAACACGCACTTAATCTATACTCTGTTATCGTCGTCCTCTTACATTGGTGCGATTGCCACGGCAATGGTACTAATAGCCGCCGATAGAGGCGTCGCGAATCGCTGCGGCTCGTTGTTTTTTTTCCGAAGTATCGACGTACGTCGTTAGCATACGTTCCTCGATCGGTCCAGAACTTTTTCGCCTATCGACAGTCCGAGCAGACTCGTTGAATGGATCTTGTGCCTAGCTTGGTTTCCACGGTATAATACACGAGAAGAGACGTCCATCAGAAGTCCTGCGGTAATAATCATCCGAGAGAATAAATCCACCGATCGAATGATGCACTGACTGACTGTCGGCTCGCCTGACTGTATTACGTCATCGTGTAGAGTCCGTTTGTCCGTCCGTCCGTTCATCCGTGTTCCTTGGTTTGATGTTGGGCTTTGATTATGTGATCGGAAACGACGGAAATTGCGTTCCTGAAGGAAGCAATTCTCTGCGTCCTCGAGAGCAGCGACACAAGCGCCCCGATTCTTGAACGACATCTACGGCTGTGCGGACGATGTTGAAAGCTCACCTCCTTCTCGCGAAGTGCTTTCTTCCGCTTCGATTGCTCGGGCCGTGAACTCCTCGAATTCGATGGGTAATAGCTCCTATGTCAGGGAGAAACGGATAACGGCCGTATGAACGACTCGCGTATCGATTCTCGCTTGTAGAAATTCCTTGCTTAGTCGATACGCGAATCGACGGATGCCGTGCATGAGCAAATTGAGTGCTGAATACCCGCATTGTCCCACAAGATGCCGTCGTGTAATGACGTAATGACCAACTAGTTTGTTTGCCGGCGGGGCCGCTTAGGTATATTACTCGCCACGAAAGGCGACGTCCCGCCGCCAAAGTATAACCTTCACACCGGGTTCCTTCTGACATTACGTGACTGGCGTATGACACGCGTCAGAGAGAGACGCTCCGCTGCCCATATCGAGTCGATGTTCCGTCGTAGCGGTACCACGTGCGAAGGCAGGGTGTCCTAGGCACGCCGTTCGAGCGAATAACCAGTCACTCAATCACCCGTCCGATAGCTCATTCCGGCGGTCGATTCCATCCATCCGTCCGTCCATCATTTGATCAATCCGTCCTTCTGTTCATTCATCTTTCCTGCCGCTCATGGCTGGACGTGCGGGAAACGTCGACGAGCGGGGAGACGCTGAGGAACCTTCGATTATGCCAGCTCACGACGAACAATAACTTTCCTGTTCTCCGTAGCTTCCGATAATTCGAGGAATAATTCATATTTACAGTGTTCATTCATGAATCGTAGTCGGGAAACCAGATTTTCTTCGTAAGAGAATCGTTGAATGAACTCGGGAGCGATATTTCACTCAGCCGGCTCGTGGGCAAACAAACAACACGTCCAGAGACTCCGCTGGTCCCATAAACAGATCTACCTCACCGTTTCGAATGCATGCTCCCAATCTCGGGATGAAGTGAGTTGTGAAAGAAGCATATTTCACAATTTCCCCCGCGGAAGATCCTCTGTGAGCGTTCACAAGCTACGCTGCTGTTTGCCCGAGAGTCAGCTCTTCGAGTGAGCTTTTTCAAGACAAAATGGCGAACGTACCCGCTGCGCGGGATTAAGAATGTGTTCGCTGAGAATATTCTCGCGCACAAGCTCTCGAAGCTGCCTTACTCCGATGAATATATTTGACAGCATCCTCGCTCGCGACCTCTTTTGCGAAGGTGCGATCGCGACCACACACGTTCACACGTTCGCGCAAGAGTGCGATCCATAGCATGTTGCTGATCCATAGACGGATAAGATCTTTTCGAAGTAAGCCGCGAACGACATCTCACCCGTCCTTCGCGACTCGTGATCGACACTTCCGTGTGACGGGCTGCCCTCAAACTCAGGGTACCCGTACAGTTCGAGTCACCAGTCACCAGACACTGTTCATATAAATGTATATTCTGAGTTCGCCGGGAATCGGAATCCCTCTCTTGAAGTCCCGAGTCTTCGAAGCATCCCAGTGGATGTGACAGGGATCATGTCAGCCCCGCGGCACTTGTTTACGAACCCATAATATATGGGGGAACAGCGATGCGCTCGTAAAAAAAGCATTACACAGTACGTATACACGAGACCGAATCGGACGACTCTTCAGAGCGTTAAACGAGGATATTCTGTTGCTCGGGAAGAGAGAGTTCGGTATCGCGAGCCAGTCGGGAGGATCGAACAGCAGCGCCGTAATCGTCGTCCGAAAAAACAGCTCTAATATTGAAGTCATGCGCTATTTTAAGCGGGAACTTCTATTTCGGTACCGCGCACTTACCGCCCTTATGAGTGCTCTTCGATGGGGAATCGCGAGCGATCGGTTCCGGAGGCTGCGGGAAGCAGCTCAGGGAGTCGATGCTGCCCGTTCCCTCGTTATATTCTTTTTGACCTCCTTTTCTCCGATTGTCGTACCTCCCCGAGACGTCGTCTTTCAACGTTGTTGCCGGCGATGCCGACATTTTATTCAAGCCCCGAGCCTTCTCGAGAGCCCGACTCCACCACGGCTTGGATCGTTGCCACAGTGTTTCGGGGGGGGAGGGGGTATTTTCCTTTCATCCTCTGCGGAGCCAGTTGCGGTGCTTTCAAGGCCGAAGACTCAACAGTGAACACATAAAGTAGAAGTAGCGGAGTGGGAACGAGCAGAATAGGGGCAGGTGGACGACAAGAAAGGGCGAGCTCAAGGGAGGAGTTTGATTCGTAGCCGTAAAGTGTTAATTGAATACTCGAGCATGGTTGGCTTTTGCTGTTCATTCGATTTTTTCCAATCTTGAAGACAGATTTCCGTGGTTTACTGGTATAGCTTGGCTTCGGGGCTCGATTCGGTTCGGTTGGAAATAATTCGTATGGGGGAATCCGCCACGGAGGGCCTGCGATTCGCCTGAGTGAACCCGACGAATGCATTGAGTGGGTTTTCGGTGTTCTCGCTGACCCTTTTGGTGAGATTCTTTTTCTCGGAAACGTGGGAGGACAATGATAATATTGTATTAGGTAAGAGAAATGGTTCTCCTGAAAGGGATAGAAGCTCCATCCATTACTTGCCGCTTGTCATAGAATGATTATTATCGTGGTGTGGTCTGAGGCTCGAGCCGAGATGGCTAGCCATGAGATACGATCCGAGACAGGATTTGACCGTGAAACGTCGCGAACCGAGCGACCCGCTAATCTCACATCGTAGCATCCATATCGATCCTTGCCGACGCTCAGAGTTCCACAACGATGACGGGAGACCTCAAAAATGTTTTATTTTTCATTCCAGAAATATCACCAATTGCGGATCAAGATTCTCGGAGACTGCTACTACTGCATCTCCGGTGCGCCGGAAGAGAGAAGGGACCACGCTGTCCTCTGCGTGCACATGGGTCTCAGTATGGTTGAAGCCATAAAGTGAGTAGGATTCATTCTCTGGAAAGTCGGATCCTTGTCTCGAGGGACCTCATGTTTGCTCGAAAGAAGGAACAATGAATTTCAAATCAGACCATCACGGTCCGAGCGACGGCATCGGTCGCGGCAGTACGAATGGAGTGCTTACTGAGCTCGGCTGACGCGTCGTCGTCAGGTTTGTGAGCACTAGAGAATCGAATCATGGGGGAACGGAGTCATCGGAAAAAATCGTGCCGTTCAGGGACGTTATTCCCCGTGTCGCGATTCGAGTCGAAAGGTTCAGGAAACGGTTGAAGACGGCGCATGGAAGGGAGGCGACGAGGAAAAGAAAATATGTGGTATAGGGGGTGGAGCGTGTAGAGAAAAATTGGCGTGGAGATTGGCTCGTTTTGACAGAGAGGAAATCGCGAGCTTGCTCCAAAGCGAATGCTACGTCTCGAACAGAAATCGAGACCGCTCGTAGAAACGTTCGTCGTAGACCACCTAGCACGTAAATGCTTGCGCTGTGTGGAAAATTCGCCCGGATATGGTCCATCAGGTCCGAGGCGCGAGCTCGACGGCAACGGCCGGGCTGGCGAGAGACCGAAGCCAGGCTGCTCGGGAGGGTGGGGACCTTCTTCTTCAGGTGACCGCTCGAACGATAGAGCAAGCGACCTGTACGAAGGCTATTTTTAGTTCGACTTGCTTTAACATGGAGCCGGTATAGAGAAAGGCAGGAGTGGCCGACGATAGTAGACGATAGACGGCACTTGGCTGTACTGCATCCTACATGGAAAACCCGCGCTCTGGACCCGCAGGCCTCCTGGCCAGCTGGCGCGTTCGGCCGAGACATCGGTCAGTCACCCGCCATGGACTTGAGATTTCCTCATTGCGACAATAGTCCGAGCAGCGTCAAGGCCTGAAGCCGTTCAGGGGTTGCTGTTTCGTGATGTAGGGGAGAGGACGGTCTCGACGGCGGATGTTTGCAGATCTCCGAAATCTCCGACTTATATCCTCCGACACAGCTTCTTCGAGTGCCCACTCTCAGGGCTCGTTGCGAGCGAGAAGCTACTGAAGATTAACAGAGGAGAAGAGACTGATGGAGGAGGAAGCGGAACCCGTTGAGAGAACCATCAAGTTTTTGTTGACCGCACATCTCGTGTTGGTGGTTGTGGTTGTGGCGGTGAGGCTATGTGATACGTTCAGATCATCGACGCCAACGTTCTCTCTATCCTTCATGAGAGACCATTTGCTTGCGGATGGAGCTGCCTCCTAGAGACGGGTCTCTCCGGGCAAATATTATTCGCTGATTTTTCCCGGCCTACACTCCCCATTGAGGCGCTCCTCATACCGGCCTTCACGTATTCTCGGAAGATTCGCGAGGTATCTACTTATCGACAGTGTCATCCCTTTCCGGAAGCCATCGACTCTCCTTCATATCGGTCAGCGGAGTCGGATAACCGCAGCATGAATTCGGTGCGGCCACAATGAAGTTTAGCTCTGTCCCCTAAGCCCCGAGACGTGTGCGGCTGATACGGATCGCCATCGACTTGTTGACGGGCAAAAGCATTGAAGACTCGGTCATGGATGACCCAGGCGTGGGTACAATAGCAGCCTAGAAGGAGACCGACGACCGAGGACAAGAGACGTTATAGCCCCCTAAACGAAAACATTGCATTGTACTGAAGGATGAAGGAAGACAGGCCAGGATACATCGTGACGGAGACAGTCATAACATGCGACTGAGGGATTTAGTGGTCGGTCGACGGCAAGGACGCCGGAGGGATGTTTTGTTGAGGTGGGAATACCGTCAGAGATGATGATGATGACGACGAGGACGACCATAGCACGCTTCTAGTCGATCGAGGCAAAGCGAAGGCGATGATTGTCCGGGAAGTGTATGGACTCATGATATTGTGATGATGGTCATCAGAATGAAAGGAGTGCTCGCTCATTGGCTCATCTTTCTCCATTCATGCATCGATCGGCGGCAGGGTCCTTTGGAACAGACCTCGGCTTCCCGCCCTCCGACCTGTCCCATCCGAGCGAGGATGCGGTCGACGGGACAATGATCATGGCCATGATGAGCAATACCCGCAGTCGGTACCCGCCAATTGCCATGGCTTGGAAGCAGGACACCTGAGGGGATTAGAGGCGTCTTCCGTCGACAGTTTCGCGCTCCATCCAAGACTCCGTCTCTGTGGTCGACGTTGTCGTCCATTCTCTAGTCCCCACCTGAAGTTGATTCCTTTGTTGCTCCTCAAGCCGCTGCGTTCCCGCGAGAGAAGAGCTGCAGGAGACCCTGAGGTACCTGCTGAGGTTCGCCTGCGGTTCTCGGAGAAAATGAACGCTAGTGAGGAGCTTGATGAATTTGCGGCGAATGGTCAAATGCCGAGGCAGTCCCGCAGAGCTTCTAGAGGCGTGGGGAAGCTCGGAGCTTGCACTGGCAGAGCGAGAGAAATGTAAGCAGATTCCCGAGCTGCTCATCCAGCTAGGAGAAGGAGCATTCCTTCGGGAAAACGCGCTCTGGTTAGGAGTTAGCTCTCTGCTTCCCCATCGTGCATGGTCCGAGGTAAGGGTCCGGGGTACGAGCACACTACGAAGTATTCGGACGTTTCGCGTGGAGGAACTGGTTCCGGCAACGTCAGCTCCAATGGAAAAGGTGGGCAAAAGGACATACTCGCGCTTCCGCTCAATTTTCTGTGCTCGCTTCAGGGCGCAGAGCTACCCCATGGGGGAGTCCCCACGGAATCATGAGGGCTTTTCGTGAAGGTCCGATTCGCTGTCCAGGGAACATTCCGGGCTTTTATTTGCACGACGACTGCTCTCTGCATGTCCGCCAGCGGAACGACAGCGGTACGGCTAACCAAGCAGAACCAATTCTAAGTAATGGACCTCATCCGATTTCACCACACAGAAGAACAGACAAACAACGGGACGGTGGGCTCCGGAGCGCCACTTCCCGTGATGACATCACGGCCGACGCGACATCGTCCTTGCCGCCAGGGCCACTTTCTCCGATGGTCGTGGTCACTACGACCTGGAGCTTCCGTTCCGTCGCAAGCTTTTCCCTCTGCTGGAGCTGCGGATGGCGAAACGAAATTCGGTTAGAAAGTTCGACGGCTGCTTAGCATTTGGCGAACGAGTAGGCTTCGAGCCCGTTCTCCGCGCGTACAGTCCCCCACGTAGCGAAGCTTCCCTGGGCGGGAGCCCGATCAGCTAGCTGATGCTCCGTTGGTCCCTTAACTGCATATAGCAGCAACGAGTCATTCCCTCCTACTTTCCTCTACCTCGGAAGCGAAGCGAGCTTTTGATTGGTTGGATATGAGGGCAGTCCGAAACACATTCACTCAGCGATTTCATGGGATTAGATTGGGTAGAGGCAGGAGCTCTCCGGAGCAGATACTCATTGAACACTTTAGCATTCTGTCGGCAGTCGGTATGGAGTTACGTGAGGCAATCCAGTCGAGCCACCGTGAAGGATGAGAATTACGAGTTGAGCCAGGAGCACGGAGAGCGAACTTCCCGGCTGGCTCCGACAATCTCCCTCTTCTGTGAGGCTCTCAGGCCGTGAGGGAGCGAGGAATTCAAACATATATCGTAATTGGAATTGCGAGCGTGGAGGTTTTTATGAAGGAACACTTCGTGTGTTAGGTGCGTGTTGAAGGAGTGCCAGTACGAAGCTCCTGGGGAACTCGAGCTCCTCTAGGTCGTGATGGACGCCCGATCAATTGGGTATGGGCGGAGGATGGAAATTGTTAGAGCGGCGGATCAAACGATTGGACACGGGAGCTGGTCCGCGCGATAGTATTCACATCTGATCTCAACACGATGAGCTAATCACGCCAAGTGCTCCGGCAAAAGAGGCAAAGGAGAGAATCTTCCAACATGGCGAGCATCACGAAGGGGATGCCTCGATCAAATACTCCTCCAAGAGAGGCTATGACAAAAACACTAGCGGACTGACAGAAAGACACGCAAGACAGGAGAGAGGACAGAGCCGTTGACAGACAGGCAGAGAGATAGACAGACAGACAGACAGACAACACACGAGCTGCTCTTCGTCCACAACGTATACTCAAATGCGTAAGGGTTTGGCGTGAGGCGAGATGCATGAAAGCCGACCTCTTCACCATCTCCAGCTTTAATTAGAGGGAGCCTCCGAGTAAAGTCATCCAGACATCCTCCTTTCTCTGTCGAGCCGAAGTCTTCCGCCTCTTTCTTATTAACACATAAGTCGCGAGGGATGGGGAAATTGTTGGTGCCATCTCCGCCGTATCGCCACCCGCCTCAGGTGTCACTTGACTCCAAAACGAAACCGATGAGCTGCATCGAATGACGTATCACCTTATGTGGTCGGCCTACGAGACGGGATTCATCGCTTCTGCAGTTTCTCGCCGGGCGTCACCTCGGATGAATCGACATCGGGGTGCTTGCAGAAATTGCATCAGACTCCTTAGGTCCGCATAGTTCCCGGGAGAAATCGTCTCTGGCTCATCCCCTTGGATATTTGGGAACTTCCGGGGTTCATTGCCCGCAGATGCATGAGTATGTGTGAACGAGGCTCCTTGGAGTGGTCGTGGAAGCGGGCTTTCTATATCCGGGGGCCAATCAACATTCGATAGAGTGGAAAACATGAAAATCCTCGTTCGAAGTGCTTCGGCACGTTCGCGTGTCTTTCGCGAGTTCCTCGTCTCTTCCACCATTTTTCTCTTCGGCCTTCGGAATCGACGGTCAATGGGAGATTCAGGAGAGCTGACTTTTGTCGCGTACATCCCGGAAATTCTCGCAGAACCTGATCAGAGCCAGGACTTCAATCAGGGATCATCTGGCGCTCGCTCTTTTATGCTTTAGAACTTTAGAACTGTAGTCCATATATTTCGCATAACTCTTCGAGAGATTGTCGAATCTCGATGAGGCGTTCGATCTGAGAGTTTGTGACGCTTCTTCCAGAGCAACCTAACAAAAAACTTACTCCGTTCCATCTATTTCCAGGTCTGTTCGCGAACAGACAAAGTCTGGCATCGACATGAGGGTCGGTATCCATACGGGCGCCGTGCTAGCCGGAGTGCTCGGTCAGAGACAATGGCAGTTTGACGTCTACTCGAGGGACGTCGTTTTGGCGAACAAGATGGAGTCAGGCGGATTGCCGGGCCGTGTCCACATATCTGACGCGACGCTGAATTTCCTCGACGACGAATTCGAGGTTCGAACCCCAAGCGTATTCTGATAGGTACCACCATAAGTAAAGATATCGATGGTCATGAACGCAGCCGGAAGCCGAGGGGAGGTCCTCTACCGATGGCGGCCGTTGTGCCTCGATACGGGCGGCTCCGTGTGCTATGGCGCACAGCGGAAATCGACGTGACCGGTACAGCTCCTTTGTGAGCTTCCGCCCAAGATCTCTGACGTAGTCGTAAGACATCTCGTCTCGGGCGAACCCCCCTCCGAGAAGCGAGCCGATCGGGACGCATATTTCCGTTGTCTGAAACGATGGACTTCATTAGACTGCCGTGCTGAAGTTTCCCCCACCGACATCGTATCTAATGCTCGAGTGGTTTTCCATAGGTGACGAACGCTGACGGAGCCTCGAGAGAAGAAGCGATACGTCTAGCAGGAATCAGGACGCTCTTCATAACCAAAGTTCTCAAGCCGGTGAGCTCTCTTGTAGCGACGTGATCGAAATACGTGAAGGTTGTACACAAAATGCAGTCGATAGCGGGCTCGATCGCTTCGGCGAGCCCGATCACGATCCAGCTCGGTCTTAGCAATTGCTGTCGGGCAACGATTAACGTTCCGTGCTCCCATCAACTTCCAGTATCCCGAAGGAACCCTCGACGTCGCAAAGAGTCCAACGGCTCGAGGTCACTCGTCATCGGGTGCAGCATGTGTTTCCATCGACGCTCCGAATGGACCGTCAGATTACCGGAAACGGCTGCAACAAGAACTTTTGGAGAGGTAGGGCATTTCGATTCATCCAAATCCACAAAATGAATTCAGCTATCCGATTCAGCCCTGACGACAGGGGGGGGGTCTGTTTCTCAGGGATACCGTGGCTCAGCTGGCTCGTTTCGTGAACCCCTTCACGCTGTACTTCAAGAATAGGGAATACGAGCAACAATATACGGCGATCAATGACTCGTCCAACTGTATAAGTCTGGTGGCTTTCCCCCTCATAACTCTATGCAACGGTGTCGTGTTTTTGGCATTGTTAGACAGGTGAGATATTTATTCCGGAACTGCATGGTCGACGACCTGGCACATGAACTTGCCGTGATCAGGATTAACGTCCTCGAGAAGGTTCTCTCATCGCTCTCGAGCGCGAATCGTCCGGAGGTTCTAATGTTGAGCCTCTGTGGTAAGAATTGCAAAGCTCGTGACACCTATAGGCTGTTTGTCTCTTGCAGCTCGCCGTTCTCATCGTTAGTGTACTCGATTGCACTAATTGTTCTTAGCATCCTCACCGGCCTTTGCGTCACGCCGCTGTTGGTGAAGTCGGCACCGAAAACCGTGACGGCGATGTCTACAGCGGTTCAGGCTAAATCTTCAGCCAGATTTGCGATTGTTCTCGTCATTGTGATAGGATGGACGTTACTGCACGCAGTAACCACGGTGAGTTCTCGCTCTTAGTTAGATGTCTCTGCTGTCGATCTGGAATATCCTGAACTAGGGACAGTGTATCGCGTAATTCTCGGCCTCGTTATAATCGCTATTCCTATTTACGACATTTTTATACGGGGGCCCCGAAGCGCGCAACGAAAGAATTTATATCACTATCTCCGGAACGGAAACGAGTTGTCGAGTCTCGGGAAAATCAACTATCCAGCGAACTCTACTTCCCGGCCCTCGAAAGATGAAAACTTCGGGTCCTTTCTGTTGGAAGCAGAGTTCCGCGGATGGAGTGATGGGGAACCGGTCGGTGATGCCTCCTTCTCATATCGTGGACTCGAGACAGGACTCATACCTTGACAGGTGTTTGCCGGCCTTCAGGCCAACTCCACGGAGCCTCCAGAATTGTCGGAATTTTCGAGTCTCAGCCCGTCATCAAACCCCTGTCCTTTTCCTGCGTACAGCACATACATCGCCATCATCGGTGAGTTCGCAGGTTCTGTTGTTCGGTCGCGCTCTTCTTCATCTCTCTCTCCTGCCTCATGGGTGTGAACAATGTCTGCAGACGGAATTCCTGCCGTGCTCTTTCTCCACTATTCATTCGGAGCGAGTTCATGAGAACGGAATGGCGGAGTTTAGAGAGCATTTTATTATCCTCCACCTTCCCTCTACTCCGTTCCTCGCCTTGTATGTCTATGGTGACGTTTTTCAGCGTCGATGTCGTCATCCGCGGAGGGATTCGTCGTTTCATTTGTCATTGAAGCCACCATTCAAGTCGTCCCCATAATAATTGTCTCGTTCTTCCTCCGGCCTACGCTGCAATGAATCTGCCGCGAGGAGGAACTTTCTCAATGAACGGACCTTTTCTTTCAGGACTTGTGGCGGTTACGCTGTTGACACACGTCAGCTATCTCGTAAAGCTGCTCCTGATTCTGCTCATCGTTGGTGTGCAAAGTCTTCTGAATCTAAGTGTACTCAAGGTGAGTTCCCTTCGACCCATGAAGGAGAAATCTCTGGGATAAAAGGGCCCCGGGCGACTCCCGTGACAATAGATCGAATAGGCACGTCTCCGACCGTTCTCGGTCGGGAACGTAAGCGCGATTCCGAGGGGGACCGTTATTCATAATCTGGTCAGGCTGGTAAGACCCATAGTAGAGCTCCCAGAACTTCCTCCGATCTAGATCCGCGAAGTTACTCACTAGTAGTGTAATATGCTCCTACGGCGCTGAACGTGTCAGAAGCTAGAGTTACGCGACCTTTTCTCGGCCTAGGCATCCGTCCCGGCAAGAGCGATTCGATCCCCTGTCGTCTTCGACCTGACGTGGCCTCGCCATCCCCCAGGTCACCTCAATGAATGAGGGGGGGGGGGGTTGACCTGCTTGTTGAGATTCTTAATTCTCACCGCCGCGCCGCTCGCGGAAGCCTTGCCCAGCTCTTGAGGGAAACCGGAGCCCTGGGTGGATAACATTCCCGAGATTTTCTTGTGCCGTATTCCCATTCGCAGAGATTATGGTTAACGCAGAAATGCCGAGAGACTATATGTGGAGCTCAAGGGAATGATCCACAGAACCCAGAGGTTTCGCGTCAATCTGGTCAGGCAGACCCGGTGAAGGCCGTAGGCTTCCGCGGGACGAAGCTTGGGAACAACTGAACCAGAGTATTGACGGGGGTCTTCGTGTCCGACAACGAGTGAAGCAAAGGGTGTTGTGCTAGTCAGGGCGCTCTAGTTTTATTCCGCGTACAAGGGAACGTCTCCCTTCCCAAGAGGGTGTTTTGACATTTTTATAGCATTTCCCCTGTTGCTCTGCTGCGTTCGGCGCAGTTCAAGTCTCGTCTTTCCAAATCTCGACATTTTAACGACGCAAACACACTTTTCCAAACGTTGCGTATATCTCGTTCGCCCTCGAGAGCAGACGGGAACAGTTCGTTCAAACACAACGCCAACAGCAGAGCAGCCTTGAAAGAGGGCTGGGGTCCCTCCAGGAACGTTGTAATGGTCGCCGGAGCAGGAGCCGACTGCTGGCCGCGGTGAGAGGGAAATAAGCTCGGGCGTCGGTAGGAGTCGTTTTAATCTTTCGCAATCGTGCCGCAAGCGCTGAAAGCTCACATGGCTTGCTGGCTTGCGCGATAGGCAGTCGATGGAAAGGGAGATAGGCAGTCGGCATCTCGTGAAAACGCCGGTGCGCGTAGGCCAATTGCGGACACTCGTTTCTGTCTCGAAGTCGGTTCTGTCCTCGTTGCATCGAGGAAAGGGGTGCGGCGTATGGATAGTCGAAAATGATCTTCTCCGGAGCAGATAAGAGGACGATGCAGGATAAACGCGTGACTCACTTATTCGCATTCCAGATCCCTTTCGACAACTTCGATTATCGAGTTTACGCGTCGGAACTCGATGACGGCTTCATATTGCCTATCGGACATGGGAGCTTGCTGTGTCTCTATCTTGCCATCGTAGGCTTTTCGTTGATCATGTGCTGCCGCCAGTTGGAGTACACGACACGACGACTTTTCCTCTGGCAAAAGGAACTCGATACCCAAAAACAAAAGGTCAGTGATATGCTATGATATTTTCGAGGGCGTGGTTAGTTGCGGGGTCAAAGTGGACTAGGTACTCGAGCACAAAAAAAGGCTTCTTTGGCTAGCTGATCCTTCCGAACGAAGAATTCTTGTCGGGGCGCCCGGCCACAACAGAGCGAACGTCGAACCAAGGCGCTACGAGATTGAAAAGTGACTTTGAGAGTAAAGTACCTTACTCGTTTTACTCGTTGTGGCACATCATCTTTGTTCGAGAACGGCGTATTGTCGGCGCTTTGGCGGGGGCTGAATGCTGCATCGATGAGACGCAATGATTACTGGAGCACACAGAAATGGTGGCGGCAACGAAGGAGAGCCTTGACGTCGTCGGTCGGGAGAAACTCTGTCGAATTAACACTCATGAGATTCCATCTTTTGACGGGAGCGTAACGCGAGGATTCTCGTTTCTTGTTGAATTCTAGGTCGCCGAAATGCGTCACAAGAACGAAGCTCTCATCTACAACATTCTCCCGCCACATGTGGCCAAACATTTCTTAGGAACACGTAAAAACGATGAGGTGAGTTCATCAGGCCCAGGGATTCCGAGCTCGGTCGCGAATATCCCCTCTATATCTCAAGACGAATCTCGAATTCTCAATAATCCGAAGTCGAACGTGAGCCCGAGATTACATTTGCTCCTGAATATGCTCGGTGCGCGATATTTTGGGAGCGAGGTCTCGAGTCTTGAAACCGCTCCTACGTGCGGCGGCTCTCGGACCTTCTCCGAGGATATCCGGTCCGCGCGTCGGAGTTTTTATCCTTGAGAGGGACCTAATACTCGGTTATCGTATTCGCCGAGTCGGGAACTCTGCATCGACTTATCGAACGGTATATCATCATTACAGGAGCTCTACTCGAAGAGTTACGAAGCGGTAGGAGTCCTTTTCGCTGCAATGCCGAACTTCAGCGATTTTTATACCGAAGATGACGTCAACAACCAAGGTTTGGAATGTCTGCGATTCCTGAACGAAGTCATCAGCGACTACGATGCTCTCCTGGAGCAGCCTCGTTTCAAAGGCATATACAAGATCAAGACAATTGGATCGACGTACATGGCAGCTAGTGGACTCTCAGAGGACACCAAGGTACGTACTCGGGTACTGCGGGTCGTCACACTGTCCCTTTACCACAAGAGCCGCGAGAATGCCGAGGTCTTCGGTGAGGGCCAGACCTCGACGGCGATTCCGCTGTTCCGGCCGCCGGTCACCGGCCGCGAATAATGAGCTTGTCCGTCATCCAACGGACGGACGGACGGTCGGTCAGACTCTCAGCTCGAGCAGTCGGACTCTAGCTTGGTTCCGCAGTAATAGCCGGTGACTACGAGCGAAGACTTGTTTCAGCAGGAAGGCGACTGGGAGCATTTGGCTCGACTGACCGAGTTCGCGCTCGCCCTCAAAGACACCCTGAACACGATCAACAAAGAGAGTTTCAACAATTTCGTTCTCAAAATGGGAATCAACCAAGGACCAATCACTGCTGGGGTAATCGGGGCGCGGAAACCTCACTTCGACATCTGGGGGAACACGGTTAACGTCGCCAGCAGAATGGAGTCCACCGGAAAAGCGGGCTATATCCAGGTATTTGTCTGTTTGTTTGCTTGTTTGTTTGTTGGCGTTATGCGCATGTCTCTCTGCCAAGGGTTATATGCCGTATAGGCAGAGCGCTCCGGCCGATGTCCGGTCTCTACGCATGTCCACATCCCTCGGTATTGGTGGCATTTACTTATGTACATTGGAGGGGGACGGAACGGTGAAATGCGCAAGAGAGCTAATCGAGTTTCTCGAAGTCCCCGAGTTTGACGCGCGTTCTGCGTATGAATTCCTCCAGAGGAGGAGTGGCGTGGGAATTTGGCGGCTATGGGGTATCTCGTTTCGACCTATCCAATTCTCCTTCGAATTCGCAGGTGGTTTCCGAGACGAAGGATATCCTCGAGACGTTCGGCTTCGAATTCGAACAACGAGGTCTTGTGACTGTGAAAGGGAAAGGACAGCTGATGACGTATTATCTCATAGGTCGGAAGAAGAACGGGAAGAACGCTGGAGGCGGCGGCGGCGGCGGAGGAGGAAAAACTTAAAAGTCGTTCATCGACCGTGGCCCAGAGTCAGCAAACTACTCAACTGAGCAACCTGAGAGGCCTGAGAGCTTCTTCGCGAAGTCTCTCGAGACCGGCGGTGACGGCGGCAGCCAGCCATCCATCTTGACGTGACACTGGAGTTTTTAGCCCAGATGCCGTTGAGGCGACGCCTGCGAAGGAACTTACAAATAGACGAAGAGAACATGCTTGTTCGCTTGTGTGCATGCATGCAAACGAATAAGCAACCACGGCAGAAACGGGCGACCTGGCGATATCCTGACCTGCACCGACTCGATCGAAGAGAGCGAGACGAAACTACGCTCTACGTCGGTGGTCCTAGTTCAAATTAGCGCGCTCCGATGACAGCGTGGAAAAAACAAAGTTTCCGGTCTACCCTATTGTTGAAAGTTGACCGATAAGGTCGCGGACATTGATGTCGGGGTCGATGAGGAGACGATGACGCGGTCGATTGTAAGAAATCTAATGAAATTATGCGGGACGTTCGGGGGCGTCCTAGGATGGAGAGAGTATGAAGTTCGAAAAATGTTATTGAGAGTGATCATGTTGACTAGAATGATGATATTGGTGAAGCCCATAATAATCGAATACCGGACATGCATACGAGGCTCTTACCAAAATCGAGCTCGTCACCAATAATTCCCGCTATAATAATAATATTCCGCAACTGAGAGTTCTGTTTCTACTGCTACACACAGCTATGAAAAGGTCGAATCTATCGCTCTTCACGGATGAGATGCGAGAGTGCGAACTTGTTGAATAGGATCTGTCGTCCTTCGGAAGAATGGGAGGGAGCGTGAGTGATAGCAAGCCTGAATACGCGGATGATGAATTGCATGTGAATACAAACCCCCGATGATATGCAGGCCCGGTAACGCGTCGTTTCTTTGACCGTTTCCCCAGAGCCGGGAAGTTCATCGGTGTCCCTAGATTCCTCAAACCAAAGAAATGGAAGCATCCAGACCAAGTAGTTGTACGATTTCCGAGGTGGGAAGCGCCGTTTGGCAAACGACAGTCCGAAGCTGTCTAAACAGCTATTTGGAATCGCGAAAATCGCCGCCGTGACGGCTAGGTGCGGGAGTTATTCGAAAAGCACCAAGTTTCCGGCTAACAATCGGTGTGTTACCATAATCTGATTCGAAAGAGAACAAGATGCGATCAGACATCATCATGTGATAGCGAGCCACCCACCGTGAGCTTCGGGAAGAGCTGCGAATCGGAATGATGGAAGGCTTGGGATTACACAAGACTTCTGACTGACTGAGATTATCGGCGAGATTCACGCTCTCCCATGCGGTAGGAATTCGAATTAAATTATGTCCGACTTAACGATGAACAAGGCGATCGGCGTGTTCCTTTTAGAGAATTGGACTGACTATGCTGGTGGATTTCTATTCGTGTCCATTGGAATACTTGACAGCTTCCTGAATTGACTGCCAGGGCAAGTCGGCCGAATCTGTTCTTCGAGAGAACATCACAAGGTACCAACCCGGCTGCAGATTCGTTCCATTCCGGCAGGATTCCGATTTTTCCTCGGTCATAGTTTCGGGGTCTGAGGGTGAGGCAGCCGCTGGGGCCGGAAGGAAGGCCAACCTTGGACGCTCCTAGAACGTCTCCAGTTACTCGAAATGAACTTCTCGGTTGTCGGTTCAGATACTCGGGAAGGCTCTGGAACATCTTCGCGTCATCAGCGAACCACGAGTGATAGGAGCCGGCTAACCCCGCACATTTCGGGACTCGGGAGAAACTTAGTAACTTCCTCCCGAAATTAGCATCGGTTCCAAGTGACACATCCTCGTCAGAGCTTCGGGGGAGTCCGCCGTGCCGTGAAGACCACAGTACGACGACCTGCCGCTATGCAGAGCTCCTATGTATTATGTATGCATGATCAGGAGGGGATAGAGCGGACGGGTATTCCACGAGAACCAAGGGATGGGTTGTGCTTGAGCTCATCCACAAATTCGGATGAAGGGAGCGATAAGAACCGAGATATTGGTCATGGGAGTGACGAGAGATCTCGATCGAGGGGATCAAACAAGCTTCTGGTGGGATATTCCGATTGGAAAATTATTCAGCTATTCCTTTCTGTTGCTTTGCTTGGCGGGGTAGGGAGGAGAATACTTCAATCATCAAACCTGACCTTAATTGCTTAGGCTTTCTCGCATTGATACGTTCGATCATTTCGCTGCATTCTGCTGAGCGCATTCCTCAAGAGTTAGTCGACCTATACATCCCAGCCAGGGGTAAATGAATGTATCAAACCGCCAGTGATGAAAGAGACGGCCCGAGTTCACCGCGGGAGGCGATCGAAATCGAGTTGTCACGGAAAAGTCGACAGCGATTTGGCGACAACCATTCGCGAAAGAATCGGGGGAAGCTCATTGGAGTTAGGCTCGCTTTCCGAGGATCTTCGACGGATTCACGACGATACAACGGGACGTGGAACCTATCCCTCCGAATAAAAATCCGCAGAGGTCCTGAAAATGTAAGGTCGGGAACTCTCCATGGAACCCTTAGGCTTTTCCAGCTTTGGAGGCTACAGAAACCGAGGAGGTAATTAATCTACGGGTGGATAATACATCGAGGAGTTCCTCAATAGCTACCGAAGTCCTCTTCGGAGCTCGATAATCATTCCCCGAACTTCACAGCATAGGAGAGCCCTATGGCTCCGCGTCGTTCCAGCTCGAAAGTTGATCTGCGTCTGTATTCGGCTCGACTTCTAATCTTCTCGAGGTCAGAGAGCGATTCGATTCGGAATTGACGTCACATGGTTTGTTGTGCGACGACGATCAACGAATTCAATCAAAGACCACATCTCATTGCCGATTTGAACTCCGGAGTGTAGACGAACGAATTTATCGACGTCACACTTCGAGCTCACAATATAGCTACCGCGAAGAGTTTCCCATCGAAGTATCGCAAAAAGGCGCTACCAAGACGTAACGAGCTCTCACGGAAAATTGCATCTCCTCCTTGAAAAGAGATCCCAGCAACCCTCTGTTCTGTCTTGGGACTTTCGAAACGTTCCGCGACGCATCGTCAATATGGGGAAGCTCCCCAGCAAGCGAAAGCGGAATCTAAAGGTCGTGCTCGTGGAAATTTTCCTCGGGAGATGCCGGAAATGAATTATCCGAGACAGACTTGCGAGCTGTCAGTTGAACCAGTGCACTTCTGGATAAAATTCTCAGCCGCAGCTCCGATCGGTCCAGACGGATATGTCTGTTTCTCCGGAGGGTATGAGGATACGTACCTTCCCATCGCTCCCCGAGGCTCATTGAAAACAAGATCGATGGGGTATTTGTTCAAAAGTTTATTTGAAAACGTGAATATTAAAAATGATAGCAAAATCTTATCTACGATATGGTCGAAGAGTTTCGGGTTCATTTTCTCATCTCCCATTCACTAGTTGGTAGACTATAAAGAGCACTTTTCCATCCGTCGGAGCAGAGGTCGCGCCTGCCGGAGCCTCGGCAGATTTCATAAATGAGTGAAAGATGTTGCCCGACAGCGTTCTGATTTCTGATCCAATCGACTTCTGAGTCAAGAATGAAGTATGCGCCCCAAAATGAGCTTCACGAATTCGCGCCGCGCATCGCCAGAGAGAATGAGCATCGGATACGACTGGCGAAATGAGTCGCAGACTACGGGACACATATACTTAAGAGTGTCCCGCGGTAATTCCAGGTTGGCGTCATTTCCATTTTCGAGTACAACGAAGTCTGTCGGATTCTCGGGCAAAATCACATCGAATCCCCTTCTATCGTATGAAGGATACTTGAATTCTCTAGGAATGTCCACACGTGGATACTCCGACAAGCAGGACCACTGCTCCGAACGGATTCTCTCTCCATTTTGAGATTTCGACATCTCCTGCCGCGTATCAGTCAGTCAATGAATACATCGATCAGTCAGTCAGTCAGTCAATCATAGGGAGTCAAAAGGCACTTGCTTCATCTTTGATTGATCGATATGGGATGATATAGTCACTGTTACTCATCAAACTCTATTCGCCGACCATGCGACCTTCCGCATTCCGAGTGATTTCAAACTTTCCATATGCCAAAGAATAGCAATATGAAGACAATGAGCGAATATTTTGCTTGAAATTTTGGTTTCGAGATATTCAGTTTCCGGAATTTGAAGAATTTGATCCTGAGATCGTGATGCTCGCGAGAATCAATCATGAGGGTAAATACAAGAGGACGACAAGCTCACTCACAATCAGTCTCGGAGGATTTTCACAAGGGCGGAGAGAGGCAGCCAGCCAGGGAGAGAGTGACATGGCCCCCATCACTTTTAAAAAATCGTATAGACAGTGCGCAGCTGAGTATACATTTGATTATTTGATCCGTTTCATACGAATTCGAAAGAAACACTGTCTCGAGAGAAAACGGTCGCATCAGCAAACCCTCGCTCACCTATCGAGTAAATTTGTGTCGTTACAATCAAGATGTCGGTCGGTCTTCGACTCCCTGACGTTTTTTTGTTGCGATAATATCAAAAGTATTCCCATCATCTTCATTGTATAAACAGAGTGATTCGTTGGTGGGCTGAATTTTTTGTTCAGGTGGCAACCGAAGTTGCGACTATAATTCAGGATGAATTTCCTGATATCGGTTGGCGGTCCGTCTGAGATCATAGTAGTCATCTGGTGGCAGATTGTGGAACAATGGGAGATGCACGCAGGCAATCGCACGAGAATGGGGCGATCAGTACACAGACAACATGCCTAAATTATCCGGAAAAAATGCCATTCAGATTTCCCTCTTCTACTGATCGGTTTAGTTGGACGCCACGCGGTCGCTTGACCTGAACAGTTTCCATGTAACATTTTTGGAGACGTCACACCACTAGTATCTCTCAGACGGTGAGGCACAAACACATACTGATTAGCAAGGGGGAAAGTATAAGGGAGAATCTTTTTGAGAACCTTTCTCGGGGAGCATTCGGTTCGGAGCCGGAGAAGACGGTGAGGAAGGAGAAAATGTCGACGTGCTTTTATGTGAGCAGTGATATATGTATGTACAAATCATCAAACCGAACAGAAATGATCATCTCTCCGAAATCTTGCTTTACATGGGTGTTATGGTACCATCATCAACTTATCATCTCGGGTCGCTTGTCGGGCGAATCCGGTTCTCGCCGTCTGTTGTGTGCAGGTGGGAGTTTTAGGTGAGCACAAGTGTGTTTGTTGGCCGGACTTTCTCAAGAGATTCGATGTCGATTACGCTTTAATACCGACACAAACTTTGGTCATAATACAAAGATTGTCTGTACTCTCATGTTCCACTAGCCGACTGATCCCGGGAATTATTGTACACATCCACATCATAATACCGCCACGACGACCGAGATTATGGCGGGTTCTGCGAGTATTCCAAACACCTGATCTGGCATGATAGTCGATATGGGATAAGTTTTGACGCAGCGCCTGCCATCCGGTTATCGTCGGCTTACAGAGTACACGGCTTGTACGCAAAAATAGAAAATTGTTGTACTGTTTGTGGCAACAAATGAGAACGAAAATCTATCCATCCTTGGGGTTGAGAATACTGTGGTTTCTGATTGAGTTTCGGGGAACACGGATACCGAGGTCAATCACGCAAGCTTCCACACGGAACGAGTGCAGGATCTGCATGCCAGCTTGTTTGTTAGTTAAATGATCGGATCATCGATTCGGTGGAAAAATCAGGACACTTTTCGTTCATGCGTAATGGAAGGATACCGATGCATCGAAATAAGTAATACTGTGGCTTACACAGAGTAATTCAATAGGAGACTCACGGATAAATCAACGTACGTGATACGTGTCAGAATCCGAGCACTATCGACTAGAGCCGAAAGCTAGCATCTTCTTGTTTTTCCCAGCATTTTCGAGTTTCTGCGGACGTCTCTGCCGCCTTTGAATGGTCCGAGGTTGTCTCGCTGAGCAAGCCATCAAATCGGAACCTTGAGGCGTTTCCCTCCATTTCCGTGATCTGACTCCTCCACGGGTGAGTCCCGATAGCGGGAACAAGGCACATACGGCTGTACAGTCTTTTTTCACGATTTGTCGACGTCTAAGTCTGAACGCGTCGCGACTATATCTCCTACATTTTCCGGGAGCAGGCACTTGGATCAATCTGAAATACGGTTTTCTCCTCTTCAAAGGGGAAGGTATCCTTAGTCTCTTGTGTTTCGTATATACCATAAGCTAAGTATGAACTTTTACACACAATATGCCTTTCGTTGTAAGAAACATTTTTGATTCGTTCTGTAGGTATCGACTGTGGTCATACGAAATGTTCAAATTGTGGCCGCTTTTAGGAGTCAACCGACCGTGCACCCATCCGCTCTCCGGTCGGTTGGTTGAGGGATGATTCTCTTTCCCTTCCGTGTTCGTTTCTTATTGGCTTTTTGTCTGGTGATTATTACGTGTCTGGCTGACTCGTTGGCAGGTTTGGAGTTCTTAATTAGGTGACAATCATTGATTCTTCTCATTTCCACAAGATAAATAGGAATTTACAATATCGAGAACCATCCGAACTTCGACAGCGGTGGTTGGGTAAACGAAGCGGGAAGTTTACAGAAAGTCTCAAATTCGTCAACAGAAAGGACGGCCTGCTTCGGATAGTCTTTCGTTGTACAATGCCTCTTTGCAGAACTCACTGCATATCCATCATGTAGGTATGTAAGCATGCTTGCATGCGTGTCTTGTCGTAACTATGTCGTCATCGTAAACATCTGTAGCACCATACGAATGAACATACTGAGTATACTAAGTGTATATAATACTAGTTTCGTAGATAGCACCATTTCGTTTGAATAGAAACGTTCATCTTCACGACGAACGTGCTTGAGACGTAATCGCTTTGTACCCTGAGTCGATGCGCTATTGCGATGAGCAGATCGCACCTTATGGTGGCTTCGCCTGAATACACGCTCGTAACTCGTGTGAACGAGGAATGACACCTCGCCACCGGTCCTCCGAGAAATCGACTCATGTAGCCAAGGGTAAATTCCTTGAAAGTTATGATTCGAACGCGTTCGGTAAAAAAGGCACTAGCTCAATTCGCTCCGTAGAGCGGATTGAAGGACGGTTATACATGTCAGTGTAGATAGATAGGAGGATAGATCAATCAAAACAAGATTCATGGTCGAGCACGATGTGGCGCCTGAAGAGGTCATGGCTTTTTGCGGTTCTGCGCGAGCATCGCCGATTGACCGGCGACGCTCGAAAGGGAAAGGAGGATCATGATAATGATAATACTCGGTGTAGTAAACTTGCGTCGTCGGATCCAGGATCCGATTAGCATAAAATACTCAAATGTATCTACGAGATACTGCACAGTAGTTAGAAGGCACTTTCACGTGGGAAAAGTTCGATCGCTGTTCGGAAACAGCGGAAGGCACTCGACGTTTTTGAAGAATCGCCGCTTCGAGGATTTGATGTTGGCTCGATCTCCAGATTTCCATGTAGTTACACGAACGGACTCGCGGTCTCCGATGACCGGCTCGCAGGTGGCTGTCTCGCGGACGGCTGGTCCAGGGGGTCGGCAGTACTAGGCGAAGCCATCAATGTTCAAGAGCTCTGCGGACTGTCAGCCCACAAGCTAGGGTGGGTCACTTGCCCGCTCGCTCGCCCGATGGTAGGGCACAAGGTCGACAACAACGACGACGGCAGTGGGCTGTGCTGTCGAGGATTGCGATGTTTGTCCTTGGAGCACGCACACGAACCTCTTTCCGTCCCCTACCTGCTCTGGCCGCTCAGTAGATCGAGACCCGCGCCCAACACGAGCTCCATCGGCCCGACTCCTCCGAGCGAAGACAGCGCAGGGACCGCCTTGGAAGCTTGAGGCTCTGTTCCAAAAGGTCGATGGCGGTTCATATGTAATCTGAGGGTCGTCTTCCTCGAAGATCTGCAAGGCGAGCAATTACAATTGCTTAGGTCTTGTTCGCTGAGCTTCTGGTCCATCAGAAGTGCAAGGATAGAGTTCGAACGCGAGGTTTTCCCACGGAAATCCTATCGGGACGCACGTCCATCGTCAGCACTCCCGAAACGCCCTGATGAAGAATTTCCGAAATTCATGAAATCGAGAACCTACTTCTATAGCTCGGGGAGGCTCACCTGTAGTCGCAGTAAGGACAGCCGTAGGGTCGCTCTCCGGTATGCTTTGATCTTATGTGGTAAGTAACGTTGCCACGATTCGACGACATGTAACCACAGAACTCGCAACAATGCATTCCCGAGGCTCGGTCCGTGATGATACCATTGTTCGACAGAACCGGCGTAGCACCCTCATGGAGCAGGATAGGACCTCCTGGACGCGGCTCGTCTTTGACGTGCGTCGATGACACTATCCCTATAAGACGTGAGAGAATTAATGCGGAGTTCGCGAGAGACCTTTCCGGCAATCGTTCCCGGGCTTTCGGGAATGGAAGCACGAGCATGGAGATACACAAGGGACACAACTTCGACGCAAGCGGCTTCGGGAGAAGCTAAATCGTCCATTCGTTCCTCTCAGCGAGGAGAGACAAGCGTTAAGGGCGGCTTCTTCGAGCATTCGATGTCACTCTCGCGCGTAGTCGGGGAGAAAGACTCCCGAGAAGCTTCAGAAGTTCTGACAGCGGTACGAGCTCTCATTCAGCATTCCACATTCGTGAAAAAAGATCGTGCACTCCGATTTATTCTCAAGCAAGCACTCGGAGTCAGACAGACAGACAGGATATAGAGGAAGAGAAATCTCGGCTGCAATATCGAGCTGAGGATACTGAGAAAATCACTCGGCTCTCAGACGCATGCGATGGCGACGGACGGCTTTCTCCAGATCGCTCCTCCTAAATCCGAGTCTGGTCGAGGTATATCTGCAAGAAGAGCTCATGTTAGGGACATTCGCGTACACTCGGATTGACCTGATCGAATGAGATACCCGCACGTATTTCCAGCCGATTCCTTGCACACAGAAGAGCGATTTGATTTTTTGGATTCGTTTTCGCTACACTCGGCTCTTGAACTTCCGAGAGATCTTCCCGGATAATGAGGTGCGTATCTTCTATATGGGAGAGCTCCGGATCGAGGCCACGGCATGAGCATCGACGCGAGGATATCGCGCCACAGCCTACGATGCCTCACGGTACCGAGCCCGTGCTGAGGAAGATCAATGTCCCGCCGGAACACCGGGTATGTCTTGAAGCATAGAGCGTCCAGAACGGTGTACTCGTGCGGACCTCGGAGGGTTCTCCCGGTTCGTCGATCAATCGGGGGCATAGACGGCCGTGTCCTGCAGGAGAAGTTTCCTCCGCAAGAGGGCTGTGAGAAAATTGTGGCATTGAAATTCAGGGCTTCAGCGTCAGATCTCTTCAGGTATATCAAGCAGTTGGAGCGGAATAAGGCAGCACTCACGATTTTCCTCGGGGGGCAGCAGCTTCTGGAAACTCCGGTGTAAACACGCCAAGTATTCAAGCTAGAACTGTGAGCGGAGTTCGACGAATCCGGGATTCCACGGACTGCAATTCTAGGTCTCCGGACAAAGAGCCAGATCTCGGAATAGCAACGGAACACTTCGCCAGGGACGGAGCAGCGAGTTTCTCCTGAAAGGTCATCTGTCACTAAGGAAGTGAGGGAGAATATCCACCAGGGGAAGGCGTAACGCGGCTCTTGTTTCCCGCAGTAATAACCGCAGACTATCACAGTCGGAATAAAGAAAAATCAGACTCCGAAATGTCCTACTCACTCTCTGCTCTAGGTCGCTAGACTCTGATGGCGATGGTGGCGAATAGAGACAACACTTGTGTCGGAGTTCCATGGTCCGGCATTCTGTAACGACCGAAGAATATTAAATGTAGCCGTCCTGTCTCATACTCAGGGGTCTCCCTCTCAGGTCTTACGCCATGATATCTCCGTGAGGGTTCCGGGAAATGAGGACTCGGTCTTCAGTTTGAAACCAGGCGCTTTATTTACACCCTTGGAATGTTTTCGAAGATTTGTGGCGATTGCTCCTCGATTAGTGGATTACGGGGCCTGAACTGTCGCCGGAAAAGTAAGCACTTCGGCCTTCATAAAGCTTAGGTCTGGGATCTTGTTTAAAACTTCTTTGGCTCTCTCGCTGAGTTCACGACCGTCTCCCGAAGTCGGGGGGCTAGACCCCTTCGACTCCTTGACGGGCTGGAGGAAGTCGTTGTTGAGACAATCGATGGCGAATCTCGGGCAGTTGGCTGGGGTTTCATCGATGCACAAGGAGCTTAAGAGGGTTCTCCTCGTGCGACTGCTGTCGTAGCTGAACAGGACGCATGGCCAATTGTCGACGTCTTCGCATCGGGCTATGTCTCTATCGACGCTTGCTTGGAAGTGTCCTGTTTCTACAGGCTGGTCAACTAGTTCCCTGCTTTCGTGGTCCACAACGATGAAGAGTTCCGCAATCAAGCTGCGGAACGACTCTGGGCTTGCAGGAGTCACCGGATCCTCCGAGGCGATCCTACCAGCGGCAAGAGATGCGTTGTCGAATTGAGCGAACTCGTGTGTCGGAGCGTTGGACGCACTGTTCCCAAGGTCGGCTTCTTCGAAGTCTCCGAAATCATCATCGTTCTCGTCATCGTGATTAACGCAGGAAGTGTCTTCTCCGCCGTGACCGACTTCCTGTGCAAGGCCATTTGTCACAACCGAGCTCTCCACCTCGTGAGCATTGGAAAACTCTCCGAAGTCTCCGAAATCATCTTCGTCATCTTTGAGAAGAATATCTTCGCCCCTCTCAGCGTTGTCTCCGGCAAGAGCTCCTCTGTCCTCTTCGACACACCCGACTCCGTTGTCCTTGACGCTGATCCCTCCTGGGTGATGGGGTCCGTCGATACTCGGAGTAATCACACTTGGACCCAGACTGAGGGCTTCCGACGCGGCGTCTGAAGGAAACGCGACCGAGTGGACGTGGCCTCGTTCCTCTATTTCGTTCGAGATAACGGAATCTACGGTCCGCTGAAGAACCTCCTCGACATCACAGTATTGTTTCTCACTTGAGGATTGCACACAGTTTTCCGATCCCGTCCCACCGATTGGATTACAGTCCGTCACGGTGTCCGACGCTATCTCGTTGGGTAGTGTCTCGGGATTCGCGTCACGATCAATGGAAGATTCGTCCGCGGGACCCTCGACGGGGATCGCGTGGGGGTCTTCTTCGTCCATCACACGGTGTGGTTTGGGCTCCTCGGCATCACATCTGTAATAAGGGATTGACTTTGTCACATCACAACACAGAAATTCGGGGCTATCTTGACACAAGCAGAAAGAAATCGAAAAAATCATTGCCAGTACACTTAGCAATCTAAACTCAGCAATCTATCGAGATCTAGTGGAAAGAGGAAGGACCTCGAATTCAACGAACAAGTCCCTAAGTCTCTCCGGAACAATAAACAGAATAGGGAAAACATCTGCTTCAGTTTATGACAATCGGGTGCGGTCTTTTGACACGGTTTATTAGGCTTTCGTTATTTTGTGTTCTCTTCTCCGTCTCAAATGATGCGAAATGTCATTCTGCGAAAAGTTAAATAGTCGTCACTCCCTGTTCCCGTTCACGAAGAGGGAATTTCCTGTCAAAATCATTTCGACCCACATGACTGAACGGAGCTTCGATGGGGTGAAGTTCGCATACTGGAAAAAGTGGAAGATTGGCTAGCACAATCAACGACTGAAATATCAGACGTTCTACAATTCGTTTAAACGTTGTTCTGCAATGCCGCCGTCCTTTGTACAGCAGAAGTGAACTTATGGATGATCATCGGAGTCGTAAAAGCAATATGCGCTAGTATTTCAAATAAGATAATGGTAGATCGAACGACTCCACGCGTAGTTGGAGGTCGCGCTCTTGCGAGCGACGCTTGTTCCCACCGAATGATTTCCTACGATGATCCGATCCTCGTCGAGCAACGATACACCATCAATACTACTGGGATGACGCGGCGTAATGTAACCAACGCGCTATAGTGGGCAGGAAGTCATCATGAACTCCACAGTCTTCCGAAAGTTTCCCCCGGTCGTCTAAACTTTTGCGAAGCGGATCAGATCCGAATTCCCCGATGGGATCCGCCGTGTCGAATTCCTCATTTCCAAGCTCCGATTCCTCATTCGGACTACGATCAATCAATCAATCAATCAACGAGTGAGCAAGCGGGCGGAGTGACACGTTGCCGTCCCCCTCCAACCACGAATTGTCCGTCCGGATAGCTCGGTCTTCACGTTTTTTCACTTTAAAATTCCTGGCTCGCGCGGCCCTCGTTCCGATTCATCTCAATCCCCCTCCGTCTGAGAGGTGTTGGGCTGAGAAAGACCATTCAATAACTCGTGAACATTGTCCACGGGATGCGGCTTGCCATCGTACACTACGCAAGGCCTGATATTGCTGCATTGGGCAAGACGGTTGATGAGTTGCAGGAGCTGCATGGCTTCGTGCTCCTTCTGCTCTTCGGTCATCTCATCGATCGGATTCGGTTTCGGCTCTTCGTAACAGCCGAGAACCGGGTTGATATTGTCCTTGTACTTGACGTACTCCTCTGTATCGCTATCTTCACTCTCAGAGGAGAAGTGTCCGTTGCCGCGTCCACCGAGCATCAGACCTCTATTGGCGAGGAGGCCTGCAGCATTGCCGTATCCCGTGTATTTGATGAGTCGGCCGACTTTCTCTTTGCAGAGCACGAACAGAAGATCCGCCGCCGTGCACTTGACTTCGGTGAGCGGAGACGTCATCAGCCTCACGAGCTTATTGCGGAGTGTATCGCCCTCTTCGGGTCGATTCATGACGTCCTTGAGAGGAGGAAGTATGCGAGCCTTGACGTATTTCCGGATGACTCGCGAACTCCGAGCCGCTTGCGAGAGCGCCACCAACACCGGAACCAGACACTCCCTCTGGTGAGGGCTCTCGAGCTTGTAGTCCAGCTGATCGAGCATTACGTCGACGGCTTCCACGTTGTAGCGCATGAACCTGTGGCTGTCCGCCGAGATCGTGGGGGTCAGGAGACCGGCGAGCGACTTTTTGCTCATGTTGCTGAGATTGTTGATAACTTCTTCGACGACCAGTTTGTCGTCCTTCATCGCCAGCAGCAGCTGACGCAGAATTGTCATCAGCTCATCGAGCTCGAGCTCTTCCTTCTCCTCCTCCTTGAAACTCGCCGTCAAATTGTACAATGCCCTCAATGTCCAGTTGATGAGATCTGCGTCGCTCTCGGGAAGTTTGTCGTGGAGATTTTTCAGAAGCGAGCATAGATTCGCCAAGCCGTCGAGCTCTTGACGAGCCACCAATCGCAGCGATGGCTCTCGCGCGGTCAAGCCGAATAGAACTCGCACGTCAAACAATTGGATCTCCGGCGATACCGCGTCTACGGTGGCGACACGGTCGATCAGCGACTTCAGCACACCGTGCGCAACCGACAAATCGCGGTACTCCTGTTCGTGGAACACCAGATTACTTATGACCTTTTCGGCTTCTAGAGCGGCAGGGGCCAGCGCCTCCGTCAGAGGACCCGAGCCCGTCTTCAGTCGAGTTATTATGCACAGTTTCTCGAAAAGATCTTTGCCGAAGACGGCGTTGGCGACTTTCCTGTCTCGACTCAGAATTCTGCAGGTTGCGAGAGCGACCATGCGATCTTCTTCTGCGGCACTGTCGAGCAGCTTCACCACATGGGGGATCTGTGGCAAGAACTCCCGCAATTGGGACTCGTCGAAAGTATACGTTTTCACGTTGGTCTCATTGAATTCTTTCAGCGCCTTCACGCCCGACTCCCAATCCAAGGACGTCGATCCTTCGGCAGTGACGCTCCCCGCGGGAAGACTCTCCGCCATCGCAGCATGATTTTCGGCCATGATCTCTCTGAACGAAAAATCGAGAGCACTAGCAGCGGTGGCCCGGAACACTGTTAAAGCCACCGGAGTCGATAGAGAAACGAATGAACTAGTCGCTCGATGTGTGGATTCTCAGGCCTACTGATGTGTGGGATCGATATCCTTCGGCTCGGGACTTCTGCTGAACTCCGCTCTTTCTAGAAGTATCCCGATTCGCCAACGTATCTGAAACAACGAATATCTTCGTCAGCGAAGCGCGCGTCGTTGCCGATGCAACAACACTCAACGAACATTATCATCATCATAACGATCATCGACATCAACGAGCACATGGAAATCAAGCGAAATACTGGGACGCTGACGAGCAGGGCTTGCGATATCAAATTAAAACAGCATGGGAGGGGCGAGATCATAAGCAGCGGACAGCATTCAGGATGTCGACGGAGGACTCTCGTAGGCACGAGATTTCGAGTCTCTAATCCGCAGGAGACGATAGAGAGCCCGACAGGATCGTGTCCTTATCATTGATTGCTCGATTCGTGGCAAGTTTCCCTAAATTGGTGCCCGGATGAGGTTTCGTAGCCTTCCAGGGCATTTTTCCCATCGCGCTCCGGAACGGGAGAGTGACTGACCACCGATCGATGCGACTGACCGAATCGAACGTCTGCTGCCTGGAGCGATTGGGTTCCTCAACGAAAAAAATGCTTTTCAACAACGGAGCTAACCTTTTCCCCGAACGGCTTTCCTCTGTCAGTCACACATGGATGCTCCAAGAAGCATAGGCTAAGACCGAAAACGTCTTAGAGTCAGTCGCAGCAATCACGAAACGATACTATCATCTACACTATAGGAACAGAGATCACGAGGGGAACATTCTCTGACACCACCGACACCAGAACGAGAAACAACAACAGAAACAACAACAACAAACGCCGACCATCGATGAGACCGCAAACTCAGACTACGAAACCGAAAGTCGGCGGCGGAGACGGTAGACGGTCGGGCAGCCGGAGAAAAGAACCAACGAATAAAAGCATTGAACGAACGAGTGAGCGAACGAACGACCGAACCCGCGCAGACCGGCAGCCAGCGAACGAGCTCCAACGGAAACTGAAACCGTTGCGTCGTTGTTCGAGCCACTCAGCCGGGCCACTCGGCCGACGGACCGAGCTACCGGCCGCTAGGCATCAGGCAGGCGGACGGTCGGACGATAGGCGCCTATGCGGCAGCCGTACGAGAATCCGTCTGAGCAAGCACGCAGGGAGACCGCCGTTGTGCAGATTGGAAAAATTTCCATGTTCGGTCCGAGTCGTCCGCAAGAACTCTCCCGCATCATTCAATCAATGGGAAATTCCTCATCAGGGGCATCCTGAACAGGGGGAGAATCCGAATCGGGAGTGCGTGCAACTGAGCTCAGCGAACCGATGGCACCCCCGGGTACACTGATCGTCAGAAAAATATAACAAATGCCAACGAATCAGATTAGGAATCATTGTTATAAGGGCCAGACAAAAACAACAGTCCAGAGTTCCTTCCGGCAACAAGCTGGCCGGGAAACGGAACGGGTTCCGAGAAAACGGTAGATTTTCGGAACGCGTCCACACCGCGCTCCATGTGACAGGAATCACGCTCAATAACACTGACCGCGTCGATCGTAAACATGGTTTACATGCTGCAGCAAAATCGATCAGGGAAGAGGCATTCGGTCAGAATGCGAGCACGCACGTTCTCCGGATAAAGGTCCTGAACCAACACAAGTGTCAACATAGTTCCTCGAGGAAACGTTTCATGTGTGCGAGCACTAGCTCATTCTATGTGGAGCGTTTTTTGAAAGCCAGTTCGAAGCAACTTAGCTTGACACAAACACTCCCGCTACCAGTAAACAATAGACACGAGCATAACAATAATAGTGAAGGTCCGGGACTCCGGAGTCGGGACTCCCAGACGGAGAGTACATCAGCCGGTTGAGAAGAAAAACACAAGCGTACACACGAACGATCTGGATATACGGACCGATGAACGCGCTCTGCCGCCGCTGATGCCGCCGTCGCTGCTGGATCTGTCCCTCCTCAGACTGCGGCGGTAGCGGCAGCAGCCGCCGGCAGCCGCTGCTCAGAGAGGCCCATTGCGAAAGCTAGCCAACCAGACAGCTAGGCAGCCATGCAGACGGCGGCGGCGGCCATGCAGATAGGCAAGCAAGTGAGCAAGCAGGCAAAAAGCCGAGCGACCAATTGAACGAAATCACTCCCCGCGACTAGTCCAGAAAGCTGACCGACTGACAGACGGAACGACGAACGCACTGACTGTCTGCCTGAACTAGGGGACGAGAAGGTCGGCCGACTGAAGATGAGCTCTCCGAGCTCGTCAGTCCGTCGACTAGTCAGTCAGTCAGTCAGCCGTACGTCTGTCAGAATGTCCGTCGAGCGGCCAGTCAAGCGCTCGCTCAGTCAGTCAGTCGGTCAGTAAGCCGGGCTTCCCCGCCTGCGCGAGCTCCATCGCCAGGGCTCTAGAACGCCTGCTGATAGAGGAACCTCGCGGACCTCCTCCGACTTCCGCGCACCCATATAGGGGTTCGCGCATGCAGATCGTTTATGGGACTCGGAGGGCTCGGGTGATCGTGGGGAGCATTGACGGATCGGAATATATAGGGGAAACCGTCACAGTCGGCGAAGGGATCTGAACTTGCACCTGAGCGTTTTCCTCCGACAGGAGTGACCCATTATCCTTGCATGGAAGTGCCGAGTTCCCTCGAGCTTTCCAGACCGATCAATGAAGATCACTAGAAGTTCAGCCCATCCGACGCCTCATAACTCATCGTTCAACCGAAATCATGGCAAGACGAATCGCGTCCAGCGACCAGACGGTGAAGCTCCGGGAAAAATTCCAGATGATCATCATAGCACGCCGCAGCTTATCCCCCTCATCCGATCGAGAACAAGAAGACGATTTCGGTTGAGGCCGAGGCCCACGGCTGATGAAATTCGAAGTCGCGCGATGATTTCTGTCCTTAGCGGCAATCAGACTCCCGCCGGCCACCGGTTCGCCCGCCAACACGCTCGACAGAAACAATGCAACTTCGGGAAACCAATGAAGTCAGCGACGACACCAACGACGCTTCAGGCCTAGCAGCAACACTTCCTGCGACGTTTGCTTGCTGCGACCGCAGCCTGTCTGGCTGCTATTGCTGCTGCTACTGCTAGAGCAGGGAGGCCCCACCAGCAGCAGCAGCAGCACTTTCACTGCATCACCGACAACGCTTTCAGCCTGATAGTCGACCGAACGAGCAAGCAAGCAAGCAGCCAGCCAGGCGAATATCCGACAGTCAGAACGAGTCCGTCCATATCCTCGATCCGGAACCGAACATACATACACGCACTCTCACCGCTAACGGGCACCCACGAGACGAGAGCTCACATCGCGACTTTCGTACATAATCCATTAATCCATCGCAGTTCTGTTTTTATTCTCGGAGGGAGCGAGCGAGCGAATCGACTTCACCTAATAGCTTCTTCGACACGGAGTTGCATAACATCAACAACAACAACATCGATAGCTAAGGCCGCAGCCTTACCAACGACGGCGACCATTCGCCGCTGTGACCAACATCGCGGCAGCAGCAGCAGCAGCCGCCGCCATCACCACCAGCGCCGATCGTACCTAGTAGCTGTAGCAGCGCACACTCACACACGAAAACCCAACACACGAACGTTCAACGACGGCTCATCGAAGCACGGTTTCTCTAGTACATTCACTATAACAGATTGGTCTCGGGCTCGAGCCCGTGCGGAGACCTCACGAGAAACCGAATATCCGCACTCGGCTGGTCCCAAGCGCCTGGGCTCCAGTCGGTCCGTCGCTCGCTCGCTCACTCACTCAGTCAGTCACTAGTGCGACCGTGGGGCGACGACGCTGCGTTTATGCTGAGGGAAACTCGCGAACGACGCATTCAATCGCGCATGCAAAGGCACTTGGGCTTGTACACAGTCCTGTGATTCGTAACACTCGATTCTAGGACCAAATGACTTCCACTCACCTAGTTGTTGCGATCCGAGAAGTCCTTGCAAGCTTCAGCCAGCACCCCAGCAGCAGACTATTTGGCTGTTCGGCGGCGGCGGGATCATCATCGTTGTACAAGCAAGCAGAGAGCGCGAACAGCGCCCTCGCACACTAAGTGCTGGTTGGATCGCTGCCGCTGCTGCCGCCGTCATCTCACGTCCCAGCAGCGCAGCCTCTTTCCAGGAGGAGACGACAGCGGAGCGCAGCAACAACAACAAAAATACGAAAATGCACCTCGGCGACGTTTAGGTCCAGACCAGCCGCGCGGAGTATACGCGGGAGACGATCACTGCGACCGTAAGAACAGGGGAACACGATCGGGGAAGATCACCGGGGATCAGAATAATCAGAAATCTTCAGCTTGCCTCTCTCGAAGAGAGACGACGCGTTCAAAAAAACACCGTCACAACGATTCTCCAAGTCAGACGAGCGTCCAGCTGTCAGAGTTCATCCTATCCAGGGTTCGGGCTCGGGAAACTTACGTGAAGGGAAATTATTGCACACGTCCTCTCGTTGACAGCGCAGCTGTTGCTGCTCAGCGCGAGAGAGCTGGATTGCAAGCACTTGCGTGCAACAGCAGCACCATCACACACAAACACACGCACGCTCACTCACTCTCACCCTCGAAGTAACGCCGTCTTGGGCGAACGCTCAGATATTAGCGGGATGTGTTTACGTTCACTGCTCTTCCTCAGAGGAGCAGCAGGCTAGGCTGCCCAGGAGGAGTGAGGTCCCCGAGGTCCGCCCATGGCAGCTATAGGTGTCGAGGCTGAGCTCTACCCATGCACCCTCTCGAGAAGAGGAGCTTCTGACTGATTTAATCAGTTTTCGGTGAATCAAAGCGACAAGAGGAACTAACGATATCCGCGGGACATGATCGACGAAGAGCGTGGAAATTTTAATGAGAGGAGGAGAATTGCGATGGGGGATGATAGCGATGATCTCTGCAGGATGAGTGAGCGGGCGGTCACTTGTATTACCCCGAATCCGGATTTTCGGTGGGAATGAATTCGACATCGAGCAGGCGAAGAATACACACGACCTTTACCCCCCCCCCGATCGGAGCGGGAGAATCATTCGTCGGAATGATAGAGCCAATTGTCAGCGCCGTCGGTATTGTACGCATTCTCGGTCTGAAAAATTTAGGACCCCAGTGAGAGTACCTTCTGTGTTCGCTACTCCGCAACCATCCCGGAGGAGCGTGGGCACGATCGTCTCCTAGGAGCCTCCTGTACTAAGGAGCTCGTGCTTATATCTGACGCTGATCAAAGAGGGATATCGAAATTAGCGATGCTTATTATTATTATTATTATCAATCATCACCGAGAAAAAGTGTCTCTAGGAATTATCAGACTGGAATGACGGCTCTGCCGCCGCGTGTCCCACCCGTGTACTGGATCGATCGACGAAATATCGCGGTGAGAAAATTTCCCAGCATCGAGCTTCGATTTCATTCAATCGCCGAGCTCGGAACTTCCTTAGATACAGTCTTTAAGCGTATGGAAACGTCATAAGATGGTGCGACGAGTTCAAATCAGGAGCTTGCTCGGGATTCTCTATCGGGGGAGGGTTGAAAGGACAACCCGGATTTAGAGGCAGAAAATGAGGCAAAAAGTGATGACGCGCCCTCTCAGGTTCTATACCTCCGCATTACGACAGAAAGCGATTGGTCTTCCACCCCCTCCCCTTCCCTTGAGCAGGAATCAGGGGTCCATGCATCGCCTCATCGGATCAGAATCAGGGAACAGCTGAGCAGGATTCATGCTCCACGACCCTAAAACTTGTGCATCGCATACATCGGAACCGGTCTCTTTACATTCTTGGCGCGACAACGCGATGCCTGACGGGGAGGTATAGCTCCGCAGAGGTGAAACTCGGAGCGCCAGGAAGCCCTCGCTTAAAATTACCTGGGGAGCTTCCAGAAATTACATACCTCCGATGGTGTCGGGCAATCAAAATAGAGAATCTTCGCCGACTTCGGACGGCAATCGGTCGGCGCTGACTCGACTCGAGGGAGAGAGCTATCTTCCAACGAGCCATCCCTCCCCCAGAATCGCATTCTCCATGCAATGGATGTGATGAACGATATGTGAATACCGGGGGCGATACGGCGACCTAGGTCCCTAAGGGCCCCAGTGTACCGAGAAATGATCGACAGAGGGTCGACCCTGAGACTGACCGAGTTTTTTAAGAAGAGGAAAACTAGCTAGAGAGTTTCATTTTGCACAATTTCGACCATTTCAGCGTCCCGAAGATCCACAACGTATCATCTTGGTATCGTCATCGTCTAATCACGGAATGAAAGCAGCCTATAGACGGAGAACCCTATTCGAGCTAGTTCTGTATTATTCTCGATTCGAAGACACCCCTTGATCCTCGATCGTTCGATTTTCATCGAAGTAGTTTTTCGGCGGATGGGGAATCGCTGGACAACGGAAGGCTTCGGTCATCCGTCAATGTGAATAGCATGGTTGAACGCCCTTATTCCTCCCAGGAACCCCATGGGAGGAAGCAGAAATATTTGTTCGGCTGCAATCGAAAGAGTGAAGATCGCTGCGGATTCATGCGCTGATGATCATGAATCATGAGGTTGGTTTCCTCATGCATACTAGCGTCAGCAAGCTAGATCATATCGGAGAATGCATGCCGGTAGCACCCTCAAAGAGCTTGCAATAGTTGCACAGATCATCGGTGCTCGAATTAGAGCGGTCGAAGTTGTTCGCGGCTCTCGCATGGTCCACGATCTCCCGCAAAGAAATTGGCCACGAATGAGGAACGCCGCGGCGGGAAGGTTTGAATGTTGCAGTAACGATGTGAGTAACGATAGAAGGCATGGAGTAGAGAAAATCCCCTCTTTCGAGATGCATTGAGCCCCACGCGGACTGCTGCAACCAGCTTATCTATCCGATGCGATGCACGATCTCGATCCAAATGAAGATATCTTCTGGAACGCGTTCGACTGACAATGAGCAGTTCGAGTCGGTTTGTAACAACAATAAGTGATGAGTTATCACTTAAACGGATATTCCACACGGTAGCCGCAGCCTTGCTTCTCCTTGTAATTCTACGTGGAACTCAAAATCAACCCCGTCGATCCCCCTGAGAGATCCACGACGAGGGAGGAAGGAGTCGGGAATACAATCAGCTTCCCGGTCATTGAGACGTTGCCGTGAGAGGAAAAAAATCCATCCGATTTTATAGAGCGGGCTGATCGATCTTGGGTGTCATTGTCGATATTCGCCGAACGAAATCCGTGGCGTAGATCCCCCTTATTCGCGACATCGACCGTGGCGTCTCGTTCGCTCCATTGAGGAGGGGGGGAGGGGAACGCAGGCGTTTGCAAGAATATCTCCGCGATCGTCCTCTGAGAAGAAGTAAGGGAGCGATTAGGCAATGAGACAGGGAGATTTTGCAGCTCACAGACGTAGAGCTTCACCTTGCTTTGCATTGCGTAGCGCGCTGTCGCTCCGCCCTGCTTACCCTTTCCCCTGGAGTTAAACATTCTGTGTTTGACAACACGAGACGACGATTGCAGATTGCAACATATCTTCCCCTCTGATCAACATGGGACTGAGTCTGATCATGCGACGATTCTGGATCATGAGACCGAAATGACCGGTCGATTTTCGTGCCAGGAGGAAAAGAGACGCGATCCCGTACATCGACCGGCCGAGGCAGCGGTCGGAACTGATTCCGACGATCAGCACGTCAGCCCGCCTCTTTCCCTCGAATCCGTCTGCGTTTTCACTGTCGTCTCCGATAAATAGATGAGAGATCCGCCTCCCCGTGGGGAGAAAAATGTTCTCTCGCACTTAAACGTCATCTTAGACTTGACCAGCGGCTGTCCCTGTTAGGTATTGTAGCAAAAACGTGCTTTTCGATAACAGTGCTGCTGCTGCGAACATCATCAGGGTGACGAAGACAGTACTCACTGAATCTTCAAATTCCGGCGGATCGCCGGGAAACTACTCCGTTCAGGAGTCGAGAGTTCTGACTACGCAGTCGACCCCGACTGCTCTCTTCCCAGCAGAGAAAGCAGCTGCCGGCTTCGACTCGCCGTCGAATGACCGTTCCCGAGACGGGAGATTCTTCGGATCATATTTCTACTCTCTTCGTGTTTCTGATACACTGATCCACTGGTCAGCTGTTCATCATCCGTGTAATATTGCTCGGAGTGGAGCATAAGTCGTGCGCTTCGCATGAGTTCGTTCAGAATTCGTCAGAAATCACGGAGGCACGTCGACCACTCGACAGGTATGGTTGGGGTCGAGAGCATCAGGATTCTGGGAGTGCATCGCTTTCGGAGAGTCTCTAAAAACATATGAGAGATCGTGTTCCCCATTTCCCGGGGAGTGGACCTCAGATATTATCTGAGAACTTCATTGAGAAAGTGCTTCTTCCATAGGAGTCCTCATGGGGAGTGAGTGACCGGGGAAATGGAGCCAGGAGACCGGGCCAGCTCTGATTCGGATCAAACGATTGAGGCGACTGAAGATAGCTCTGACAGCCATGATGTGCAAACGTTTCTTGATACACCTGGAGCCATCGAGGGGGCTCATGGAACGTTAGGAGAAGCCACAAGACCTGGACGAGATCAGAGCATCGCACCCGTACCTGATAGACCCGTCGATCCCGACGCGGACTCGATCGAGGAGGAGGTCGTCGAGCATCAGACGATAAGCATGGGATCGCGGCTTGCGAGACTTAGACCGGTGATATTCATCATATGCATATTCGCGCTAGGAGTCAATCATTTGAGGTGCTCGCCACAAGCCATTCTGACGAGAGGTCTACCTGAAGCAAGAGCAGTTCACCAAAACACCGCTTATCTCGACGTTTACGATGGCGATCTGAGCAGGGTCTTCGAAGAATTCCTCCGACATGAAATGACTGTCAGCCTGTACTACGCACCATGGGATGCCAAGAGCTTGAAATCCCTCAAGATTCTCGACGAGCTAGCGAAAGGAATTTCCGACGTCCGATTCATTGCTATCAGCTGTTGGCAAAATCCATCATGTACCAAATACTACGAGTTCAAATTCTATCCGTCTGCCAGTGTCTACGTGCGTGGGCTTGGCAGCATTCAGTACCCGATGGGGTCGATATCGAAAGAGTACTTGGCGACTTTCATCTACAACATCATAAACCCTATAAGTGTGATCAGTGAAGCCAGTCAGTGGTCTCAAATGAGAGCCAAGCACTTCGCTGTCGTCACTGCTCCCATGGAACACTTCCAATTCGCATATACGCTGGCACTCGAAGCGTTGAGGCGAGATCCTCAGCAGCGAGTTGGCTTTGCGATCTTGAGAGATTCTCGCCTCGCACCCGCCATCCGCCTGCACCTGAGCAACGAAACGCTCGAATACACCGAGGAAGCGAATCCCACAGTCGGAGCTGTTGCCAAGTGGATTTACTCGAAAGCGACGGAACCTTACACCGTTTTGGGCAATCCGGGATTCAAAAGTGCAAGATTCCGTCAGGCAATCAACGGGACTCGGGCGTTCGCCGTCATCAAATCTCCGCCCTCGACGAGGCTGAACGTGCAACTGCACTTGATGTCCGCAGCGCTATTCGGTTGTCAAGACTCCCCTTCGAACCATACGAGGGATATGCTTATCTCTCTGATCATGAGACTGCAAGCTGAATCGTCCGCCTGTAAGAAGAATTCGAGCCCAATCGAATGCGTTTCGAACGGAAACCACTGCCTCAAGCTCATGGCGAGTGTATCTTATCGCAAGCATTGGGCTGGCCACATCACGCAATATTGTCGCGAGAGCGAGCAGGAATTGTTGAAACGGAGCGAACGACAGAAGTTCTGTTTGACTCAGTGGGCGCTCCCTGAGAAAGAAGCTTTCACTACCGATTTCCAGCTATATGGTCTCGCATGCGGCCGCGAGGACCGATTCCGAATTATAGTGCTCGATGCAGCTCTCTTCGAGAGCATGTATCCCGCGGAAGCTCCGGTCGTCATCTTCGACACGGTGGAAGAAGTCAAGTATCTACTGCCCGAGGATCAATTCTCAGCTCGAGGCATCGAGATCTTCCTCCGAAAGTTTCTGACGAAGTCCAATGAGATATTGAAGAGGTCCACCAGCTTAGTCCGCACTGATCTGTTCCATTCGAAAGCCGAGGACTTCGTTCCCCCGAACCGAACGCCAGGCAGTGCCATACACGATACCGTCGTTCTGTTCTATACGAACTGGTGTGGCTTCTGCAAAAGTTTCACGGCTGCGTACTTCAGAGTTGCTAATTTCTTCGGGACGGCCCCCATATCCTTCCGTCGCGTCGACGCCGAAGGAAGCCGTTTCGAAGACATTAAGTACGCACCGGATAGTTATCCTCAGGTTGTGTTCTTCCCAAGAAACAGTTCCGACAGCTTCCGGTATCGAGGTCCCTGGAAAGCTCAAGGACTCACCCGGTTCATTTTCGAGCACTGCAATGAGGATGTTCTACAGTCGTTCTGACGATACTTAGTCGTGTCAGCATTCTGTGATCTAGCATTGTTCGAGGGGAATGGGGAGCGGCGTCGTTTCCGTTTCGAGCCTCGAGCGATATTTTAGCGGACAGGTCGGAGATTTTTCGACGAAATAGTTAGTCGACCGCGACTCGAGGGTCGAGTCGTGGTACTTATTTTTCTACTTGAATAAATTATGAGTGAGCCATGAGTCATTCATAAGGGACTCGTCTCTTCCGCAGAGAGGGGAATAACTCCCCTTCCTCTGCACACAGGCTCACTCGCTTGTTTCCCACCTTTGGGAACCGAATTTTAGGGCTCAGGCCTTATCGATTAAGATCGGTCAAAAAAGGGGATGCGCGGGGATGACACGAGAAGGTTTTTTTTTTCAAGCGAATGGGAAGAAGGTTGTCTTTTCCCTCAAAAGTACGTGGACGGGGTAGATTTCCAGATAGCCAGAGGGAAGCGAATCGAATCCGGAGTTGGGCCGTCCGCGCTAATGGAGCAGATCGTCGAGGAGCCGTTATCCTTTATCAATCATATTAGCCATTATCATTCATATTGACCCTACAATAGGGCCTTCCATCTACTAAGCAATGCGCCGGGCGTGATGATTATTTATCGAGAGACTTTGGGAGTAGCAGGGGGCCGTCTTCACTCGGTTAGATCTCGTAGAGCTTCAGAATCCCTCCGGTTTATTTCTTAATCAGGCTGTACAAGACTATATACACTGTGATGACTGATTTTCGGAATTCTCTAACGTCGGATGTCACGGTGACGAAATGTTGGCATCGATCTCTCCTCCTCTCGCTTTCAATATCTTACAATGAGGGAAATGTCCGCGAGCCACCATTTTTCTCCTCGTCCATATCCGGTCGGCGAATCCTTGCGACTCCGTTAGTCGCTAACGTATGGCGAGACTATTCAGCTCGCCGCAAAACGTTTGCTCAGAACGTTTTATTCCAGCGTAAGCTTCTGTTTTTTGGCTTCGAACTCCTTCGGGTCTCCGTGCTGGAGATAGAACTTGCGCTTCATATCCGAGACGAGCATGTCGGTCAGAAGGAAGACTTGAGATACATTGTACACGAGAGTTATCGCGAAATAGAAATTGGCGTTCCCCGAGTAGGCAAACAGCCATTGATGCCACATGATTGGGGCCAAGACGCAAGAAACCGCGATTGCGGCGAAAACGATCACCACCTGCCGCATCAAATCGAAAAGATGCCGGAAAATGGGGAGCAACGAAGAGTAGAGGGCGAAATCCGCCAAGCTGGGATAGGGCTTGAAAACCGAGACGATCAGGAGCAGCGACCAGTACAGGAGCAGGGGATCTTTTCGCAGGCGAACACTCAGCGGCAGAACGTATATCAACACGTTAAGGTGGAACACGCATAGGAAGAACCAGCGGAAGTGCTCGAAGAGCTCCGTGAAGAAATACCAGAAGAGTCCCACGTTCGGAGTGAGATCGGTCACAGCCAGCTGAAAGTAGTAGGACGAAATGTGCGAGTCACTGTTGAAGCTTATCAGCTGAGCGAGGATTGCGACGTAGGCCGAAATGAAGAGGAGGCACGGCGTCCGGTGTCGAATGAACATCATCGCAGGTACCACGAGAATCACCGTGTGAAGACATCGCGACGTCAACAGCGCGAGGGTAACTGTACTCAGCGGCCACACACCGTATACCATCGCGAATAGGCTCAGGCAATGGAGGAAATTGTCAAAGACCGATGTGTTCTGAGACACGCACGATAGGATGTTGAACGGCGAGAGACAATAAACAGTCAGCACGAACAAGGGAATCTGTCTAGCAACAGGTATTGTGAGCACAAGTTTGCGAGACGACTGGGCTTTCGACAGGGAGCGGTCTTGATGCAGAAGAATTTGTACGCATTTTTTCGAGGCTGCATACAGAATCAGGCCCGTCAGAAGATCCATCACGATGAAAACGTGCTTGAGTGCGTTCCCGTTCCGGAATAGATAAATGAGCATCGAGTAGAATTTGAGCGACAGATACGGCTCATGGAGGATGTCTCCTGGAAAAAAACGAGCAAGATCAGTCACGGGAAAAATTCCTCGCCATCTGCGATTATTCCGAGATGGGTTAGAGCCGCAGTGCTCCGACCGCGCTCGGTTCGCGAGGCCGGCCATCAGGGGGCGATACATGTTTACGGATTGCGTGACACTTCAGAGGCAGGAAACGCATGGTTCGACGAGCAAGTCCGGCGCGACATAAAATATGTCGTTCGAGATGCCACTCACGTATGATGTATGAATACCAGTTCGGGCGGGTCCCCCAAAGGGAGCCCGGATCCCTGTACCGCTCATGGGGGTGCCTTCCGTTCAAAATCGAACGCCACTCGGACGCTACTCACCGGAATATGGATTGATTCCATGCTTGAGGAGAAAATGTCCCTCTACGACTCTCTTCCATGAGTTCAGGGGTGTCGAGAGTTCAACCCGATCGGCGATTCGGGCGCTGTAGTTCGATAGGATGAGCGCAAGCCGTAGAAAATATCCCCCGAACAGAACCAAAGCCGCATTGACGGGGGCTGCCATTTTTTGTCAACCCAGACACACACAACATAAACACCTCATCACGGCATGCGGGGCTCCCTCAACTCGGGACCATCTCTCGGGACGCGCGCAGTACGGATCGGGAGCGCTCTGGATAATGTTTCTCGACGATCACGTTGGTCTTCGGTCGAACGGGGTTTGTTTGCATCGGCCGCTGGCAGCTGATGTGGATGCCGAGCGAATGAACGTAGTAGAGAGCCGTTGTGGCACGAAGCGTGGTGCGCTGCGCTCTCTCCACCGTGTCGAACGAACTGAACGATGGAAACCGGCTACGGACAATCCGGCGGAGAATGCGGTGACGACGCCGGCGGGCTGCCAAGCGGCCGCTCATCTTCTGAGGGGTACTCTGACGGTATATCACTGGCGGGACTGGGGGGTGACGATCACGATACCTATTGGAGAGCGAACAGGACGGAATCCGGGAAGGAAGGGTTGGACCGGTCGAGAGAACAGCGGAGCCGTTGCTTCTCATCATCATTCGTCATCATCTTTGCTGGTAGCTCGGTCCGAATCGGTTAATTCCTCCATCTATTCTTCAATTCGCAAAGATCGCTCCTGGAAATCGATTCCGACATTAGACGCGGCACGGCGACGAAACGTTATTTTCAACCGGGTCCGACTGCCCGCTCGAGGATCACTCCGGAAAATTCGAGTAAAGGAATAACGGTCGCCGAAGACGCGAGACGATGTTGTGCAGAGTCTCACGAAAGTCCTCGGTAGCCGCTCTGATTGGATTCAGCGGCAGACCGGCAGGATACCAAGAGGAAGAGCTCGGAATTTCTGGAGAAATACTGGGCCCAGCCTCAGGGATACTGCTCGCCATCCTCTCACGGCGAGCATCGGCACTTCCGCTTGTTCGGTGTCCTTTGGCTATATATCAAACGATTCGATGGCTATACATCCGGATATGAGGAACCAGACATGTGGTCCGGGAGGATGTGCTGTAACGACGATTGAGCGAGCTTAGGTCTCAAACAGGCATGAGCGGATCGCGTGGCCGGCATTCACGTTGTAAACCGTCGGTTCTCTCAAAACTCAAGCGATCGAAAGTTCATTCCTCGATCGCTCCATTCCCGACTGTCCGGCTTGTAACAGCTTGACTGAAAAACTCTTCATGTGAAATGTCATCGGTGGTCCAGAGCAGAAGGGTACGCGGTCAGGGTCAGAGAGCCGAAATCAGGAAATCATCGCACCTCAATCAATCGTAATACGACTTCCGTCGGCAGAATGCCGGCTCTTATTCACGAACTGTAGCTCGATGAAAACTGCATCGATTGACGAGAATTCGCCGGTGGGTATGGCAAGGCACCGGTCAGTTCTCCGCGTCCCGCCCGTCATATGTCCACTACATGTGGCTCGTCGAGAGCATATCCGAAGAGCAGAAAGAGAGAAGCTTCGAGGGGCACGCTTCATCGATAACCCGGAAGAATCGAAATGAGGTGTAGGCGATGGAATTGGAGAGATTCTTAAGCTCGGACTCTGTCTGTCAAGAATTAAGCAGCGATATACTCTCCGATCTCGCCGGACTCCAGCTGGAAGAGGACCGCGATGATGGGATGAATCAGATGGATAACCTCGCACGCCATATCTGATCGTGAGCCACGCCTGCGACCGTGGGCTCGATTCCTTTTAGGTGCTACGGTCTTTCCTCCATCGACCACGTTGCCTCCAATAAGCTGCGCGTATTTCGACACTCGAGATACATTTTCCACAAACAGTCGAACTTTTCGATATTCAAATCGATTATCATCATGTGTTTTCGAATCGTCTCATATCATTCCAAGGAAAAACTTTTGAGCCTTGTATATTACCCTGTCATCCAAGAAGCGGAAGAATCTGGAGGAATACCCCGATACGAGATCCATTCCATTCGTTCAATATGTAGATGGATATTTATTTTTAAAGAAAGGTATAATGAAGTTTTTTTTCCGGTACTGAACGAGATCGGGCATTCCCTTTTCGGGTTACATCGGGTCGTTCGCATATTTCTTGCGTCCGGTGTCACTTATCACGCAAACGTGCTGAAATTCCGAGAGAAATCTCTGATATTCGAGGCATCTCTTATTCACATCCGTTACCCGAGGCTTTCCATGATCCCTCTGCGAGATCTTGAGCTATTCTTCCCTCTACTTACGCTTAGGTCTCTGAATCTCTCATTGTAATCTAGAGCGTACCCAACCAGGAATCGATCGGGTGTTTCGAAGCCTACATCTGGAAAGATGGAAAATACCGTGGTATGACGGTGGTCGCTTCAAACCTCCGCAGACTCGTGGGATTTAATGCGACTGTCGGCATGTTTCATTTTCCACTGCGTAAAACACATCGACACTTTTTTTAGAGTTTGCATAGAGACCGTATCGGATACGGCGCTTACAGTCAGGCTTGTATCCGTTGCTAAGTGGCGTCCTCTTAACAAAGAGGGAAGCGACCTTGACCTCCCGGGGCTCGTAGAGTTTCAGATGCTCGAGGAGGGCGACCATAGTGCGTCCTGTGTCGATGATATCTTCGACGATGAGTACGTTCTGTAATCATAAGAGAGAAGTTCGAATCGTGTAGGCACCAATTCGAACAGTATTCATCGAGATTTTCCGGACATGGAATATTCGCTGGCCCCTCCTGGGGATCCCGAAGGCCGATCGCACGAGCGACGGGAGCTTTACGTATCGGCCAAGGATTATCGGAATATGTTCGGGTCAGTCGGTCTCCAAGTGAGCGGCAGCACCAAGCAGTTAGGTGTTAAGTCATGGAACCATTTTGAATATGTTGTGTGGACTCGGAGCCTGAGATTCCTTACCTTCCCTCGAATGTTCTCAAGGTTGTCGAGTCCAATGACTCTCACATTGCCGGTTGATTTATCGTCCTACGGAAGGAAGTCTCCATGAATTCGGAGAGCGGGTTTGACTCCGGTGATTCGAGCCGAAATAGCGAGTCTCTTTCGAAGTTCCCCAAACACATACCACGTAGCTTTGTATCCTGATAAAATCAGTGGAGAACGGAACCGAAGACTGCCCGCTGAGCCGATTGTACTGCCGAACTCGATCCAGGAGGTCTGCGAAAAACTTATAGCCACCCTTGAGAACACAGAGCGCCCGGAAACTTTGATCCTCGTAGTGTATGGCTATGTCCTTCGCCAAACGTTCAACCCGATCGAGGATCAAACCGCAAGGGAGGAGAATCTCAGCGAGGTCTTCGGTGTAATGAGCTGGGACGCAGAACGAATTGAGAGGGTAACCTTTAAAATTGTCCGGAATCTGCAAAGCGGTCGAAGGTTTGTGAAGTTCAGACATCTTCCGGTGGCTTCGGACAGAAGAACACCCCTTCGACGGGATGGTCGGTGTCTGCAGATCCAGCTCAACTGATCGTTCGACCGTTGCGAGTATTTCGGTAGGCATGACGGTGTCGATCGCCAGACAACGCGGCACCAGACAGAAGGAAGGCACAATCCAGAGTGGAAGCCACGGACTCGTCTGCCGACGTTTATAGAGTTCCAGAGAGGGCCGCCTCCATATTCATCGATCTCTCCGCTGAGGAGCGGATACATGATGGGGTCAGCTCCGAAAAGAGAATGGTCACTTGAAAACCATCCCTGCTGAGCACTGCATTTTTCCGTGAGAATAATGACTCTTCTCGAAATTCTCAAGCACCTGATTAAGGAACCGAAGCGCAAAGATGAGCTCCCTGTTGAACTCGTCGCACCGAACTCTCGCGTGGGAATGTTACTATTTATAGAGGCTTGAAAAGATTTGATACCGAACCGAGATTCTGCGCCGCGAGTATCAAGTGATGGGGAGCAAGCAAAAAGAAAAGAGAAAACCTTGTTCCCCCCTCCCGCTTAAAGAATCCTGCAGGCAAGGTGTTCGTTATCCGAGGAACCGATGTCCGAAAAGACTCATCCCTCACCATCTAGCGGAATTTCTCTTGAATCATCCCTTCCCTCTGAGAGGCATTCCGATATCGAGCTCTTACTCAGGCGTGGATCAAGAGCGCTTGAGACGGCTCCATCGAGGAGGCAGCCCGAAGTGAAAGCAACCGGCAAGGGGGACAAGACCCTGTTCTCTGTCCGGAGCCCTCCGAATTCAGACATTGGAATTCGTTCCTAGGACACCGCAAAGCCGCGTCCTGCTCTCGCTCGAATGGAACACCCAATCCTCGCATCCGTCGCGGTTTAGGGAACGGTACTCTCAGATTACCTTGATCACCAAAGAGTTTCTGCGTTCCTCAGCTTCCATCTTTCCGAAGCAACGAGCACCAGATGTTTCGTCGAATGCCGACTTGACAAGTTGTTGTCACTTGCTCCAAAGCAAAACATTCATAAAGCTGGCGTGCCGCCTACCGGCTGCCTTGATCCATGGATCGGCCTCTTTCCATCATACCCTCTCTCGGTTGCCAACATCCCGCGCGACGATAAACACAATCGAATAATTCCAAATCCGAGAACTCTCTTCGGCGCATCGCCTCTCGACTCTTTCGTGGAATAGTCCCGACTGAGTTGATTACTGCCTCGACTCACATACGTCACGTCGAAATCGCCGGAGTTCTGTTCGCGCGGTAAGCGAGATCGGGAAGCGGGCGGGCGTGCGTGCGCGCGCGCCACAACCCTGCTAGTCGAGTTCTACTCTCTGTCAGGTTACTCTCGCTCCCCTACAGCATGGCCGGCTCGAAGGCAAGAACCGACGACGACCACTGTCCCACCATCACTGCCACCAGTTGTCTTCCTTGCCAGCCAGCCGAACGCTCTTGGACTCGCGTCCTTCGGAGACTCAACCCGGAAGCGTGAATTTTTTCCGGAGATCAGGTTCACGGAGTGAGTTCCGTGAGGTCTTCGGCCCGTTTGCAAGGAAGCGCGCATTCGACACGTGAGTAAAGCTCAGCTCTATCTCTAGCCGGCAGGCTTGACACGTTCGATGATACGAGCAGCGCTCAGCCACTTTGAGTGTGGGTTCCAAATGAGCGAAGCCCAACATTATCCGATGTGACGAGTTGATGCTTGAGCTCGATGTTCTTCCCCATGTTCTTCGGGGCTTTCGAATCGGGAAAACTCTCAGCAGGATGATGATGATCAGGAGCTGGCGGAGCGCCCTAGAGCAAAGAAAATCTACTCGTCCCGGAGGGCCTTCGCCGAGTCGATGTGAATCGATCCGAAATGTCAGAATCATCGGCTTCAATCAACTGTCACTCGACGGTTCACAGAATTCTGTTCCCTCTCGCATCATGATACGATCCGCTCGTCCGCTTCCCATTAAATTTTCCCAGAGGGGAGTCCTCCAATGATTATCTGCGTGCGCCAACCTTCCCCGAGAAAGCTCGGTGGAGTTCCTTCCCTCTACGTCTGGCTATCCATTTTGTCTAGCAGTCTTGGAAACCCCGAGAAATACGATCAGCCGCTCCTCTGAGGAAGAAATTTGAATCCAGTCTATTTTTGAGGTCCTCCATCCCAAGATAACCGTATAGCCGCTCTAGAAACTTTGTTCGAGACAGATCGAAACCCTCCGAAGAGCTCACGGCGTCGAAGGAAAAACTTCCTTCAAGGTCTCCACGGGTCGATTCGTTCTCACGATTTACGTACCAGACGTGGGCGTCGGGACCACGACGACTGCGGTGTATGACATCGCTTGAGACCCTTATGGCTCGGACGAATTAGTGTCTGCATCTCATCGTCCACCTTGACAAGCTCGTCTCGATACGCTCTCGGTTGTTCTTTGGCTCCGTCGCCCCGTCTGGACTGCCTCGATCCGAATCCATACTCAGTGCGTTGGTGAGCCCGTCGCGTCTCGGAGGAAGAAGCTTGCGTCGAAGAAACAACGCGACCCATTCCCTCGGTCGAGACCTATCGCATCAGGCTTCGAGATTCGCGCTGAGGCGGTACATCTGATATGACGGATAGATTGTGTCATCATCCGCCCGAGAGTATGCGCCAAGCTGTCCATGCTAAGGTAATCGGCGGCGAGGAAAACATTTTTGAGACGAACCACCTGTTGGAAGCCCTAAGATTTTTCTACGGAAAGCTTCAGGCATAAAGGTTCTACTTGAGCAGTTCTCATCGAGGGATTCGGAATCAATGAGCTTGAAAAAGGGCATTTATCGCGGAGAGCCCATGGCATGAGCCGATCAGCTGATCAGTGTCGCTCTTATCTTCGCCATGACCCAAATATCCGCCAATACCTTGCTCGCCCTGCAGCGAAAGAGGCCTTCTTCACACTCGTTCGGGCAATTCCACGTACCCCGCATGAAGTCGTAGACTATATGTTTCCTGCTGCCTGGATCAGTATTCGCTGTTATCCGACCTCAACGGAGGCCTCATGTTGGACACGCCAAACAAGAGGCCTTCCCTGCGGACCAGAGCTGCGAACCAGAGCTGTCTCTCTCGATGACTTCGAGATGGACGGAGAACACTAAGGAGACAACTAGGACCTAGAGGAGAGATTGAGTACTCGACTCTCGGATGGAGTTGGATGCTGACTTCGTGAAGCCAGGTGGTCGGAGGTACA